CGCTCGGTGCAGCCCGCCCGCCGCCGGCACCGCCGCGCAGGCGCCGCTCCCGCCCGGGTCCTAGCGCGGGCCGCGCCCGCCGCCGCGGCCGGGACGGGGGTGGGCGCTCCGGGACACGGGGCTGCGGGCAGAGCGCCCTCCCGCCCCGCTCACCTTCCCCTAGCTCCGCGGTGGTCACACCGAGGGTCCCCTTCGGGAGCGGCGGGTGTCCCGGTGCTGGCCCTCGCTCGGCTCTGGGTGACCCTCTGGAGCATTGACATGAGTCACGGCTGTGCACGTCCTGCCTGGACCGGGCTGGCTGAAGGGCAGAACTCAGGATCTCCCCAGGTGTAAATTTCTTGCCTCACGAGCGGGGGCACCCAGGGTTGTCCCTTCCTATCACATTGTGCTTTTACTCAGTTCCAAACACCTACACCACTTCTCCATCTTTTCCTGCTGTTCACTTGGTTAATTTTCCTAACACCCAAGTTGGCAGGAAGTCACAATTTGGGTTTGTTTTTTATTCTTTTTTTTTTTATTCTCGTTAATTCACAAATAATGACAAGGGAAATTTCAAAAACCCCCCAGTTCCTGTCTTGCAAGGAGCTTGAAGAACAGCAAGAAGATGGTTGTGCAGAAAAGAAGTAAGAGAGGTATGTAGATGTGCTCTGTATTTTGTTTTATTTGGTGTCAGTTTCTCAGGAGGAATGGGCTTATGGGAGAGCTGAGCTTTTGTGGATTGACCATGGGAGGTCATGTCACGATGAACGGCATAGGCTGGTGAAACATACAATTGAAAGGTACATGGTTAGGGAATGCTGATGGAGTGTGCAAGTGACAGGGACAACACAATGCTCAAAAGAAGAGGGCAGACCCGGGGAATGCAGCCAGGTTGAACTTCCAAGTAGGAGAGAAATTCAGATGTGTGGGAACAGCAGGTGAAGAACAAGTGGAGGGCTGTGAAGGAGCAATTGGTGCACTCAGGTTTGTGAGATGAGGTGTTTGGTTACCTGCAGCTTCCTTGCAAAGAGCATTGCATGGTTGGGATGCAGAGAAGAAAACTTTGTGGTAGCTGTGGTGAGATATTCCAAAGAGGTCTAACCAGCAGATTTGTCTGTGAAAATGGTAACAGGCTGCTCTTTAAGCTGGTGAGGTAGAAGGAAGGCCTGGGATCTGGTGCTATTTGTGTGCAACTCTTGGGAAAAGGGAGGAAAGACAGCAGGAATGGGAGTATGTTACTTGTATCAGCTATGAATGAGAAATGGAAAAGTGAGGCTAAATCAAGGCAACTCTGCACTTGAGCTAGCATAAACTGATGAAAAAATCTCCAGGAAGAGATGCCAGACAGCAGCTTCAGCGCTGGGACTGAACAGAGGCAGAAAGGTTGATGACAGAGGGAGAATCTGAGAATCACAAGTGCAGAAACACTATCTAAAATCCTTGAGAATTGCCAGCCAGAGGACACGGAGGGAGAAGAGGGCTGCAAACCCAAGCCTGGCATTAAGAAAGGAAAAGAGAGTGTTGACTCACTGACAAAAATAATACATGCAAAATTCTTTTAAATCATAGTAAATGCCTATTTTTGATAATAATAGATCTGGGGACCAAGGGGAAAGAGCTGTAGGGTACGTTCTGAGAGTTAATGAAGGATATGGAGGGCAGGTGACCCAGGAAAGATGTTAAGAGCCTGTGAACCATAGGCTTGTGGGTCCTTCTGGTCACAGCCACAACTTTAAAGACTCCCATCTCATTAGCTCCTGCCTTCCATGTTACCTTACCTGCAGTGAGTGATTTCTCTTCAGGAATTTCAGTGTTGGGATCTAAGGTGACTGTGGGTACAACAAAAGAGATGTGCAGCTTCCCTTGTTTGGGTTTCCCTTCCTGTCTGGGGAACTGAAGGAGGGTGGTGCAGGACCTCAGAAGTCATCTGGGAGTAAATGTTAAAAGCTGGAAAGCTTGTTTAAAGAGAGTGTTCACAGACTCAGGTGGGGAGGCCATGCTTAAGTGACCTGTAAGGTTTCTTTGAAGCTACTGTAAGGCTGTAATTGATGAAGAAGCATTGGTAGAAACAGAAGAGTTGGATGTTTCAAAAGACATGAAAGAGGGCCCCAAATCAGAGACTGATGGGCAAGCAGGAGCTTGTGAGATCTGGACCAAGATAGCTGCTGAAATAGAAGGTAAATTGGAACGTAAGCTTAGACATCATTTTCACATGGAAAATGAAAATGATGTTTGAAATCAAATCATGTTTGAAGTTTATATTGAAGCTTGAGAGGGAAAGTGTTCAAAAATATTATCTTTATGTAACAAGGATCATGTGACAAAATAGCTGCATATTAAGGCACAAAGAGTTTACTTTGCATGGTAGATTGCGGCATGGTTTGCATTTGTTTAATTAGCCATAGTTGATAACACCACATAGATGGCTTTGGCTTGCATGGAATGGAAGGTTTAAGACAGTCCAGCAGCTGCTGTGTCTGAGCAAAGTTTTGCTTTAAGCTTGCCATATAGCAATATAACATTCTAGTTTAATTTTAAAAAATAATTTTTCATAATTAGAAATGTTTGGATTATGATAGACAAACAAAATCATCTAATTTTGCAAGTTCCAATTTGCAGACAAAACTTTCTGTGGAATTATGATTAATCCCAAACTTGACAGTAGGACTTATCTTCTCCTAGTCCCATGAAAACGAATGCTGTTATAACTGGATTTTATTATAGTTCATGTTTGACATCTTTAAATCCTTAAACATCTGGTTTATATTTGATATCTTTAAGGAGGACTTCATATGAAGGTGGATGCGTGAGTCCCCATCTAGCTTTTCTGTGATACAACTTGTCATTTTAAGTTAACTTATTAATTAATTTTACTAAGTTTTACATGTTAAAAATAACTAAACCAGCCTTAATTATGCTGGGAGACCTCTGTAGGAAGCACAGGGTTGGTAGGTTTTCCAAACAGTTCACAATCTGTTTGGAAAAGGATTATGGTATAGCAGCAGCAGCTGCAGGTGCTGTTACCAGAAAATTTTTAAATGCATTAAAAGCCATTCACCTTGGAAATACACTTTTCCCTGAACTTATTCTGATAACTGGTAAGAGATTTTGATGATCATCTATGCTGAGCTGGGGTTGACCAAAATCTGGCCTAAGTGAGGAAAACGACCTGTAGAGTTTAGAAAGGTCACTCTGAAGGTCTCCCTTGTGGCACACCTACTGTCAGGAGAGTATATGTGCACTTTGAGCAGTCCTGTTGGTCTGTCTGTAATTTTAGCTGTTCTTCTAACTCAAAAATTTTAATGGTGATAGTGGAAGAATAACTTTTAGCCATAGATATATTTTAGTTTTCAAACTACTGTGTAGCTGAGTTAGAGAGTGAGTCCATTTACTAATTTTGTCACTGATGTTAGGTCACCTCACTGTTCTGATGACACAGGAAGAGTAAGTCCTCCTTTCCCCTCTGTATCTGGTATACTGGGATCACCCTATACTTCAGCATCCTCAGAGCAATGATATACAAGAAAAAGTAGATTGTCTTTCAGACAGAAGTCTAAATTCTGTCTACAAACTAAAAAAATAAACTAGTGGGTTTACATGCTATTCTTTTGTTAATCCCCCTGTTCTCTACTTCTTTAGCTGAGAACTGCAGTGATTTCTAACTCTAAAGGAGCTTTCTTCTCAATGTGGGAGATGACTGAGCATATCTTCTTTAACACTCCTAAACTTAGTAACTCATTAATTTAAAGTAAAATTTTAACCTTTCTCTAAAATTTTATTTAATTATATTCATTATTGTATGAAGATATTTTTCCTCTTACTGAAGACCCTGGATTGACAGATCCAAATCTCAGGCTGTATAAGCACAGAAGTGCACATGAGGAAGCTTTGCTGTATGCTTTGGTGCTTTACTGGTGTGTCAAGAGTACTTGATTCTGCACTCATCTGTAGCCTCTTCCTTCACTGGGGTTTCTAGTGAGGACACCAACAATGGTGACTGCTGAAGAAGCTCCTGCTCCTGAAATGTAAGCCTAGCTCTGACTTTATCACTCAGTTTCTCTTCAAAGAAAAAGAATGACCCATTGTAACAATATGAAGAGAAAAAGAGATGTTGAGAGAACCTGTGACTTTGTGCACAACTATGAATAAAACTGGAGAATACTTTCAAAATGTTTTAAAGCTGGAGGAGGCTGAGAGAATTATTTGTAAGAGTTATAACCTCAAAAGAAAAGGCAGCCAGGGTTGGAGGACCAGTTTTGCAATGCTTGAATGCTATAATTCAGCCTGTGCTCTCTTGTATTAAATTCATGACAACTCAACAGTATTTCAGTGCAGTTTTTTATCAGTTTTAGATTACATCATGCTGTGAATTGCTCTATCTGTTAGCACTGACCCTTGTAAATCATTTGGTTTGAGGTCTTCAAATGGAAAGCTGTGATGGACTTCAGCATGCAATGTACTCATTTTGTCCTTGAAAATCATTTAAAAATAAAGCAGCTGCAATCATGCAGATGTTATTACTTTTCTGAAAGGCTCGATTTACCCCTCTGAATTGTCATTAATTGGATGAAAGCCTTTCATAGAAAGAATGAGAATAGAGAAAAAAATTGTGGGTTCATGCTTGGTGTTGACTGAGGGAGTCATAGAGAGGTTGCATGTCTGAAGAGATGTGTAGCCCAAAGCCTGATACAAAGAAGGCATGATGCTTTTAATGAGAGTAACCAGAGCAGCAGAATTTATGGCTAAATGCTTGTTCCTGCACTTTTATAGCTGGATTTTTTTTATTCTTAATTACTTTAGTTTTGCTTGAATATGTACTTCATTCCCATCTATGTTTTCCAACTGTTGCATGGCTTTGCTTTGGGCTGAGAAGTATTTGCTGTGCTTTGCCTCATGAGTTGCACTTGTTCATCCATTTCTACTGGGCTGACATTTCTGAGTGAATGTTCTTTTTTGATTTGTAAATTCCTTTGGGATCCTTGAGAAAGAGTGCACCAAACTGTGAGATAAATGGAAGCTGCTCTGGAAAAAAAATGGAAGTAACATTGTGACATGTTAGAGATCATATTTGGTCTTTACCCATTCTGTTAACTAAGAGAAACTCCCACCTGAATCCATTTGGTTTTGCTGAAAATTGATGGGAGATGGAACCAAGCAGATACAATTATAGAGATCGTGCCCACAAGTAAGGCAAGGTGGTGGAAGTGGTGTTCTGCTGCTTGCTGAAGGGCTAGGGAGATTTCTAAACTGTTTTACCTGTAGGGAAAGAGAAGACTTCACCTTCCTGGCAAAAATGGCAATAACCACTACAAAAAACTGGTGAGTTGTCTGTCTAACCCCCAGTTCCTTAAGTCTGGCCTGGGTGAAGCACTGTGCTTCTTTTGGAGCACATCCTCAAGTCCAGACTGAAGTAAAAGTGTCAGGATTTGTCTTTGATGAGACATTCCCCTAAACAGAAATAATTGCCCCTCAAGAAATCACGGGGCTAAATCACAGCAAAATCTACTTTAAGCATCTGAAATTAGGTATTCAGCTAATGTGCTGCTTTGTTACAATACCTTGTTATGGAAGGATATAGATTTGTCCCTCTTCTTCATGCTGATCTAGGTGTGATCCAGCAAAAATCCAGCTGGTGATGAGGAAAATTGAGCTTACAATTGGAAGTTTCCTGTCAGCACATCACCAAAAACCCCTTATCTAAACTCATTACTACGAGCTGAGCTCAGTCATCCTGAGGGCTCTGAATCTGCATTGCCAAAAGAGGGCACATAGGTTGGAACCATTTAATTCCTACCATGTACTGCAGCTAGACTTTCAGAAAAGGTCAGGGACTTGGCTTTATTTTATTAGCTGATTTGTTTTTGGGGTCCTAGAAGGTCCCTGACTTTCTCAGACTGGCCTAGTCAGCCTTTTCTGAAAACAAAACTCTACTAATGCTGTCATTATGTTTTTAAGATCTCAGCCAATTTGCAGGTGCATGAACATAGCAACAGACACAAACACATAGATACAGACATATGTATTTCACAACTACTATATACAGAATACAGAACAGGAGGTGCTAGTCTTTTCTTGAAAAAGGCATGCAGCTCTCAGTGCTGCAAGTGTTTCTTTTTCATTTAACCACCAAAAAACCAGAAAAATATAGGGTCTGTTTCTGACTGAGGAGTATGCAATATGCTCCGTTTTATAAAATGTATAAGCTTGCCCATCAGCTGGCTATTTCTCTAATACAACAAAATAATTAGAAAATGTCTTACCTGTTTTTTTTTTTAGTGAAATGAGAACTTTGTTTTTGTTGAATGATTCACTTTTCACAGCTGTTATTACTTGTTCAGCCTACTGAGTTCACAATAGTAACTGAAATGTCCTCAGACAAACAGATGGGAAAATGGCCTGAAAGTCTTTATTGTTATAAATGATTTGTAAAACTTTAGATGTTAAAAGGTAAGAGTGGTTTAAATAAATCTCAACAATGCTAACTCAAAGGTTTAAAGCATTGCTTAAATCCCTTGATTAACTCAGCTTCTCAATATTTGACATGAATCCATAACTCTGAGATGTATTTTCTGTTCTCTAGCTTTGTAAATATTTACACAGCCAGTCCCATGAAATATGACATTTAATCCTGTTGAAGTAATTATTTGAATGCTGCATATGAAGAGATATAAAGTATAATAGTTCCAGTGATGCTAGTTAAATAATTGGCACTAAGGATGAAATCTGCTGCATTTCTTTTGTCAAAAGCCAGGATTTGTACAATATCAATGTGAGTAAATGGAAAGCAAAATCTACTTTCTGTTCCAAATCTTGGACCAGCTTCTGGAAATGAAGGTTTCTTTATCCTGTCTCATGCCTGGGCCTATGCCTCAGCATTGACAGCAACTTTTTGTTACAGTTAAATGAAGTGTTCAGAGCTAGAAGAAAGGCAATAGTGAAGGGATGGCACCTCTATTAGCTTGTCCTCTGCCTTTCCCTTCTGGGACACGCTATAATGAATGGTTTCTGCACTCCAGGAAGCAGGAATGTGCTCTACCAGGTTTCCTGGGGAAGATTTCTGTAGGAATTCCAGTGCAATAGGACTATACCAGCCCTCCAGACCGTGGCTGGAATTCCTGTTAAGATTTGCAGCAGGTTTGTATTTAAATGATTTAACTTGAGGAACAGTGATATGCTTGTTCCTATGACGCTGCACTTTTAGTCATTGTTTACTGATTCACTCTGATTCATCTGTGGGTTCTGCCAGGTTTTGCAGTTGTAGTCTTTGCCTCTAGGTAGCCCAGCAGTAGAAGGAATTGGGAAATAATGAGGAAGCAGAGAAGGATCACAGTGGGACAAAATATACAGAGTTGGCCTGCAAGAAATCAGAGTTGGGTCTTCCTTAAGAAATGTCCATTCTCATACAAACTTGGACCTTTCTGCTCTTCTAGGATGGATTCTCATCCTAAGAGGGCCTACAATAGCATGTTTATTTTATTTATCTCCTATGGGCAACAAGAAAACAGGAGGGTCCAGTTCTCAAACCTATAATAAAGACCTTTTTTTCTTTGAAAATTTTCCAACCGTAATAAAAAATACGATAGATTTCTACAAGTTCTTCTGAAATTGTTCGCCAGCTTATCCTCCCTGTTAAAAAGTGGAGGAAATGGTTGATTGTGTGGTAGTAATTCAGGATGTGGGCCAAGATGTTTCCTAATTGCTTTATCATGCCAAGCCCCTTCAGAAGCCTTCATTATATAGAAAGGTTTCCATGCAGAAGTGCTGAAGTGGTGCTGTGCTCATGTGGCCCAGTTTGACCACTGCATAATCCAGGCAGACAGATGCATGCTGCAAAGGACAGTGCAGCACAGAAAAGGTGATGGGGCAAGTCAGTGAAATTACTCTGCTTTCCTGAGTTGATGCTTGTAAAGCCCTTAGGAAGGATTTTGACCAATATATCCACAAATATGTATAATTCTGGCTAGGGCAAAATCCAGATGATTGCATTTGTGTTACTAATGGAATCTTCCTCAGCTTTGTTTCCATATTCTGTTGTATTGCTTCTCTTATTGAGTATTTCTCCCCTCTGAACCCTAGGCTGAATAGGATCTGCAGAATGCTGCTTATGTTTAGGAATGTACTTTCAGGTACTTTGGGACTGAGAAAAGAAGAGATGTTTCTGAACACAAGTTTGCATTTTCAGGTACACCTGAAAGTTTTGAATGCCCAAGAGACTTCAGGAGATTTGGTCTAGTTGGAAATCAGGCTAGAGATAATATATCAAAAGTATAAATTAAAACTTTCAAAGATGAAAATATAAAACTAATTATCTTGTTTAAGAAAAACTAAAATCTTTTGCTTAGTCTGGCCAATTAATGTTAATGTGTAGATATCAAGTTAACAAGTACATAAAATAGCAGTGGGACAAATTAAGAGAGAAACCTTAATGTGCATAGACATTTGCTCAGTCAACCAAAGTTCTTAAAGGCTCAGCTGCAAGTCTGGAAACATAAATGCTGATGTCTAAAATAGAAAATGTTAGTTTTGATTTTTTTTTAACCTCTTTCTCCATTTTGTTTTACCACAGAACCAAACCAAAAAAAGCCACAGGTAATGGTCATGGAGGGCTTGAAGGGCATCTGCCTTCCCTCATCACAAAGTGAAGGTATGTCAGACACTTTTAGCTGCAAAACATACGTGCAGGAATTACTGTGTGATTAACTGTGAGGACTCAGTGATCCAATCAATCTTTTCCATATCTCTTGTTCATAATAATTATTTGTACTTAAAAAAAGGAATAATTTGAGAAATGGTTGGTTTTGGGTTTATTTTCCCCCTTCTGAGGTGCAGAGCAGAACTCAGAATTCTTATGGCAAAAAAAGACCAGAGAGCAGATGAGGTGAGATGACAGATTGGGGTAAAACACGAGCAGCCAGCTCACAACAAGCAAGTTCATTGCGTGACAGTCTTCCTGCTCTTCCCTAGGGAGTGAGCAGAATGGTTCAAGAAGGAGCAGATGGAAACAGCTGCCAACAGATGAGTACTGGAATGGATTCAAGCCACACTACTTGCTGGAATTTGAGAGTTTGTGAAGGCCTGAGCTTTCCCAACCACAGGTATCTAAAATTTGGAACCAGGCAGCTGTCAGTTAGCTGCTCTTATTTATGAGGACCAGAAAAAAACTCCACTGTTGTCCTATAGTGTGGGGAATATTTTAAGCTGTGGTTGCAGATAGTACTAAAGATAAAAGAACCCTACTAAGATATTTTTCATGAACGTGTCTATCTCATAGTCCATTCACTTAAAATGGTTTTTCTCTTGACCTTGAGCCGAGATTTAACAGGTGGGTAAAAGATAAATTTAGCAAGGCCAGTGACGCAATGCTGACACTTTTATGTCTTCTTGCATAATTTTGATCATACCATGAAGAATAATAAATGGCAAAAGCTAAAGTGTCCTTGGCAAACAAACAAACAGAATAGTACCCTGTGATATTTTTACCTTTGTTTCCCCTTACCACACACAGTTTTTACTCCCACAGAGCTTGAAATATTAACCCAGCATGTTAATTTATTTCTTCCAGAGTTGCCCTGACCATTGCACTTAACATCTCTCTTGGAAGTACTTCAAACCAAGTGGCTGGCTCCATCTCTAGCTTTGTTAATTAGGCACATTACTTTGTTGCTTTTTTTCTTATCGCTTAATGTAATTGGCATTTGTGAAGCTTTTGAAAGGCATGTTTGGGACTACATTTTGTGCAGCTGGCTTTCAACTGCAAGCTGTTTCAAGTGTGTAGTTCTGCAGAAGACAGCCTGTGAGAGCGTAGAGCGTGTGCCTGGCACATACCCGCTTCCTTTCCAAAGGGAACAAAGGGATGTTAGTGTGACCTGCCCCATACAAAGGAACACGTGTGACACATGAACCCCCTTGCATCCATTTGTATTTCTATGCCATTAGATCTGTAATAAGAGCATTACGTGCCCTGCATGGAGAATGGGTCTCCCTTTACAAGCTGTTGTATAAATGCTTTGCTCTGTGATGCTCTTCATCCTGAACTTTAGTCCACATATCAGGATGCCTTGTCATATAGACACAAAAGCCTGCAGTTTTTTTCCATAAAAATGCATCTTTGAGCATCCAAACTCAAACCATGAGCTTGTACTTGCTGTAATAATCCCAATACACTGTGTCAACTGCCAGTATGACTGATGAATTTACACTGGGTAGGAATTTGGCTCATTGATTTCAGTTGTCGCGGTGTGAAATGATACTCTCTACCTGAGCTGAGAAAGAGTTAGATGGTAGCGTTTGGGGGGGGAAGGAATGGATACACTAAAAAAAAAAAAAAAAAAAAAAAAAAAAAAAAAGTAAAGTTCCTGTTTTTCGTGGAAATGCTGCCCTCCGGTGGCCTGGAGAAAAGCCTACACACTGCTTCTTGCTGCTTCTTGGTTCAAAAAGGTACTTACACACTGCAGCAAGCAGCATCTCTCAAATGTGGATTGTCTAGGCTCCTGCCTCAGGAAACTCACAGGTGCCATAAAAACAAGTAAAAAAATTCAGGACAAAAAGGTATTGTTTAATTTGGTTTGGGATTCAGAAGTAAAGCACTGATGTGAAAAAAGAGAATGTTGTGTGGCCGAAGCATAAAAGGAATCATAGAATGGTTGGGGTTGGAAACGACCTTAAAGATCATTTTGTTCCAACCCCTCTGCTATGGAAAGGGACACCTCTCACTTGACCAGGTTGCTTAGAGCTCCATGCATCCTGGCCTTGAACACTTCCAGGGATGGGGCACCCACAATTTCTCTGGGCAACCTGTGCCAGTGTCTCACCAATCTCACAGTAAAGAATTTCTCCCTTATACCTAATCTAAACCTACTCTCTTTCAGCTTGAAACCATTCCCCTCTGTCCTGTCACTACATGGTCTTTAAATAGTGTCTCTTCATCTTTCTTGTATTTTCCCTTCAGGTACTGAAAGGCCACCCTGAACCCTTCTCTTTTCTAGACTAAACAATCCCAACTCTCTCAGCCTTTCCTCATAGGAGAGATGCTCCATCCTTCTGATAATCTTGGTGGCCTCCTCTGGACTCACCCCAACAGGTCAATATCCCTTCTGTGTTGAGGACCCAGATCTGGAGGCACAGCTCCAGGTGGGATCTCACCAGAGCAGAGTAGAGAGAGAAAAATCACCTCCCTTGGTCTATTGGCCAAGATTTGTGCCCTACTGAGGGACTTTGTCACCAGAGAATGTCATTGTGATCCTGCTGTCCTCTGCAGTTCCTCTGCATCTTCCCCACCTGCCTTCTGGGCAAGCAGCCTGTCTCCCTCAGGACCACTGCTCTCAGCACAGGCCATACAATGCATTCAAAGACCTTCCATTTTCTCCTTCCCTTTGTCTTTATTTTTCACTCAAAGAAAAATAGAGTTGTGCCCCAGAATTTGTCTAGCAATAAAAAAGCGAAAACCCAACCAACCATACTATTTGTACAATTTTTTTCTCTCTGTTTCTGGAGAGGGTTCTTAGTAGGGAGGAAATTGGTTTTTCCAATATATTTTTCTTGATGCTCCTAGTATATGGGCCTCCAGGTGCTGTCTGAAGACTGTGAATATTTTTGCTATTTCTGCACCAACAAACTTTACATTATGGAAAGATGATAAAACAGGACATGGAGTTCACCAAGCAACGATTTCAGGAAGAAATGTAGTTAATATTTTTCCCAGCAGATGTGGCTGTTGGACCAGAAAAGGCTCAAGGTCAGTTCAGGTGGATTAAGGGAGAACTGTGGAGATTGGGGAACCCCTTTTACTGCCATGGATATGCAGCACTATGTGGTAACTGTGCTGAGACCAGGCTTCTGAGTGAATCTGACTGCCAACAAAAAATAACAACATGCCAATGAAATTGCAACCTCCCTCAGTCGTGTGATTAAGTGGGTTATTGTCTGTTTTTAGTAATTTTTAAATAAATAGTTACAGTATTTGCCTTGCTATTGATAAATGTGAGGTTATGCATTGAGTATTACATGAAATAGCACACTTGTTGATGTTGCTAAGATGCCTGTAGATGATAAAAGTAATTAGTGCTGTAGTAAGAAAATGTGAATTCAGTGCCATGTTGACTCTATTATTGGGAAACCCCTGAGGTTTTCTATCACCCCGTGGTTACAGGATAGATCAGTTTTCACCATTAGCTTACAGTGTTAAGATCTTTATTCAGAAGTGGCTGTGTATGCAAAATGTAGGTTTCTGGGTCCACAGGGAAATTTCTGGATTCCTTGTCCTGGCTGAAATGGCTCTGTCAGACATGTTCCTAATTTCTGCTGGGTCCTGGGAGGGAAAGGACTATCTGACAGCCCTTCTTTATTATGCTAGGGACCATCCCCTCCCTCGTTAGCCCTGAAATGTCAAATATGGAAAGGTCTCCACTTAATGACATTCCCAGTTGTGCAACAAGCCTGTTGAGAAGGGGGCATGCTGCATCCATCAAGGAGAGGAGGTCATGGCTGTTCAACAGTTTTACTAGAAAACCAGTGATTTGAAAGGCTGAGGGAGGGTGAGCTGATAGTAAATAGTGCTTGATGAGGTACTTGGATGTGCCTCCCAAGATGATCTCCAGGTCGTGCTGTCAGAGATTTGCACTCTGACTCTACAGAGGCCTTTTTACCTACTGCCTGTGAAGCCAAGATTGCCACATGCAAGTTATGTGAAATGACCTTCATACCATCTCCTGCTATCACAGGCTGCGTGTCAGCCGCTCGTTTAGGAGCTGTTGTAGGCTTTCAGCACTATTATGGGGGCAGTTTCTGGACGGTACTTTCAAGATCAGGTGAGCACTAAAGCCTGGCAGCTTGTTCAGAGGGTTGTGCTCAGGGCCATCAGCACATCTGAAAGCGTTGTGACAGAAATGGGTCAGTGACCAGAGCACGAGCAAAGGGTCACAGCAGGGAGTTTGTCCTGGCTTTGCACTGCTACGTGAACACTATCCCACACAGCATTATGTGCAGTAGCATGAAAATATTCCTACTGAAGCTGCAAATATTCCTACTGATTTCAAGGAAATTTTTAAACAAAAATGAAATATTAATTAATTAATTCATTAAAATTCATTAGGTATGAGGTAGAAAGGTTTAATAGTCTGCTTTGGATGTAGTTCTTCTGAAGATGGCTGTTTTGGCCCTTTGCACACTTTGAACCTTTCAAATGTCTCTGCAAAATGTAAGATGTAAAATGAAAACTGCTTTTCTGTCCACTTTCAAGGGATTTTTTTAAGGTCTTTATCTTGAGTTGAAAATGACAAGTCATTTTAGAAGAGCAGCATCTGGTGTGAAGTGACTGCCAATTTAATATTTCTTTTATATATTTGGATACAGATAATAACATCTTTTTAAAGGGAAAACATATACCAGGAATAGTTCATATATCTTTTACCTAAAATTGAATGTTCAGTATGTGAAATACTTCTGTAGCAGTATTGCTATGTTAATGTAGGAAATGGTGTTTAACACTGTTATTTGCAATTTTATTGCACTTTGTTGTGGAATATTGAAAGTAGGAAAAAGATCCTCTTCATTCTCGTACTGGCAAATGATCTGATGAAATGTAAAATCAGAGCATTTATTACACGTAAGTGAGGTATAAATGTATTCCTTTTCACTTTTTCCATAGCAGTGGTTTGAGTGAGATAAACCAGTAACGATGGGTTTATCACGCAGTGCTTTCTTAAGCTACCAAATCAAATCAAACATTGCTAAAATGCACACTTATCACTATGTTTGAAGACAGCTACTTTCCTTTATTTGTTTGTATCTGTATGACTTTGCCTTTGGAAGCAGTGTTCCTTAGGAAACATCGCATTGGACTGGAAAGTTTATGTGATAGAAACTTTCAGACTATCATTTTGTGTTCAGAGCCCATGCTGGAGTGTTTCTGTCGACCAAGGTAGGCTGCACTTTGTCTTGTAGGATCAACCCTAAATGCCTAAATTCATCTTCAGGAGCCCAGTTTAAGAACCAAAGTTTGTATATGTTGGATCAGCCTTGCATATGCTCCTTGGCTGTGTCAGAACTAAACTAAAGCTCTGAATCCAAATATTACTAGCCTCAAAATATTTACTCATAGACTGGGATATATTTCTATCAGTTACATGCTATCCTCTTGATGCACAGGGCTTTATTTTTAATATATTTATTACCTTATAAATAAACAGAAAGAAATGGCACAGGGGAACAATTTTCCTTATCTAAGTAAAAAAATAAATGTATTTGTAACCTAAAAATGTATTTATCAGTGCTGACGCCCTTTGGCCTTACTCCAGTGAACTCTTCTCACTGACATCAATGGGAGAAAGATGGGCTCTGCATAGGAAACCTATGAATATTTTTTCCTCATCATCCATCCATCCATCTATTTTGGGATGTGCTAAATGCCTGTTCTCTGTTGTAACATTAACATCAGTATGTGGAAACTCGGGTGGCTAAAATAAATCAGTGAAATGCAATATACATGACTTCACATGGAACTGCGTGTACATTGTTGAGCACCAGTGCCCTGTGCCTGCTCTGCCATGCCAGCCCTACAGCCAGGTACCCCCCATTGTGTCCCTCAGAAGTGGGGTGCAAGCAAGGCAGTCATGACCTCTGTGCTGCCTGCATGTCCAGAGCCTCTGTCATTCCTGTGCCACTAAAATACTTTTGGTTGCCATTTAATGGCAGTAAAATTGATACTTTTGCCAGTCTCAAATTATGGGGATTAAAAGATTTTAGTATTTCACGAAAGCATTTTTTTTAAAAATCTTTTGCATTGTGGGCCTGATTGTTTACTGAAGGCAATGAAAATGATATTGATGATGTGTGAGGTCCTGATTTTTGAGGCAACTGTCTCTCCTTAGCTGTTATAAGGGATACAGGCTTCCAACTAACCTGGGGTATTTTTCCAGCCTTAGTAGAGACCCTCCCGATTCATGACAGTATGAATTAGCACATTCTCAAATTAGTTTGATTTTTATTTTTAATGGAAAATTGAAAGTAGTAAGCTCAATCTTGATGGGCTGGAGTGTCTTCTGCCCACAGGGAATCACTGGGAGACCTTTACAAAGTTGGACTTTGCTGAAGATGCTGAGTGGCCAGTCGTGCCTTGGAGGCTCCTCTGACCCATGGGAGACTGGGCTGCTCCTCAGAATGGTCCTGTGCTCTGACATTGATTTATCATCCACCATGACCACAAGCTCAGGGATGAGGAAGGAATACCCATGGCTGCTACCATCCCTGCCCCTCTGGCTTCAGATAAATCACCAAGCTTGGAGCATGACTGCCCCAGGAAGAAGGAGAAGCAACTGCATTGCTCTGCTCAACACATGGCAGCCTGCTCCTCTCCTCTCCACAGAACATTGATCTTCAAGGCCATACACAATTAAAGGAGTGGGAGACATTCCCTGGAATTAGCTGTTCCCTCTTTCATTTTCCTGCTTAAGGTAAGAGCTGCACAAACTCCTTCTATAAGAGTCACCTAGCAGAGAATACAATGACTGGTCTGTCATCAAAGTATTTAGGGATGGTGACGATACCTAGATTGATTTTCAGTGTGTTTTTTGTTTTTATTTTACTGTGATGTTTCTACAAAATCCATAAATCATAGGGATGTGATAGGAAACAGGTTGCAGTTGCTGGTTATTCTTGTCCAGATGCACAGAAATGCCCTGATTGTTACTTTCCAATGACAGCCAGCTCAGGGCTAAACATTTTTCAGTTGCACAGCCAGCTTTCAAGGTTACACATAGATACTGAATGAAACAGAGCCCACTGGTTATTTTTAGAGAGGCTCTAAACAAGAAGCAAATCCCTGGAGCAGTGCTGCCAGGGATGCATAAAGTTCAAATCCAAATTAAAACTGCCTATCTTTGGCCTACATTCCAACTTGAACTTGAGGAAAACTGTAACCTGTGACTTGAACTTTATGACAAAAACTCATTTTCAATTAGTTTCTAATACCTGAGAATACATGAACTTGGTACAAACACTTACAAAATAGAACTTGAATGAAAAATGTGAACACTTATCCCAAAATATAGTATCTGTTCTTGTGAGTTTTGTATGGTTTCAGTAGCTACATTGGAATTTGGAGTGTCTAATTTTTTGTGATTCTTAGTTTCAACACATCTTTTTAATATCAAGTCCTACAATGTAATTGTAAATTTTGGGGGCAGGAGGAGAAACATGCTTATTTATTGACCCTTCTAATAATGACTTGTGATGCTCAGGTCTAGGTTTAGCAGTGACCACACCAGAATATAAAGAAAGGAGACCCTTTGACAGCAGCATATTTATGCAAAGTAGTGCAACTGAAGCATGTTCTTGATTTCTTTGCTGAATCAGAGCCTGTATCTTCTTCCTGCCAAGGCAGGGATCTAATACCACTTCTAAATGCACTAGTAATTCTAGAAGCCCTAATGAAAGTCAAGATAACACCACAGATTTTATAAATAAGGGTCTTTATTTAGAATACTGTTGAAAACATTCTTGGCAACCACATCGTATAAATATATAAAGTTAAAGTTTGACACAACAAACCAAGCAATATTAAATATTTTTAAATTTTTCCTCTTTTTAAGTTTTTGGGGTTTTTTTTCTTTTTTTTTCAAATTTATTTATTTTTGCTCTTTTTCTTTCCTTTTTTTTTTTTTTTGGAAAGCAACTCTTATTTACAATTATACAAAAGTTTTATAAAAAATGGTCCACAACCTTATTTTGGCCAGAACAGGAGTAATAGGAAGGATCTATCATGCCACTACTACTGTAGATTTCTATTTTCCTCCACATTCAAGAGCCAGTTTCCTATTCCCCACAGCCCAGATTAAACTTTGGCCATTCCATGGTATACGATCTTATCTCTAGACGTATTAAATAACTTTAGTTTAACAACCAATAAATAACTATGTGTACTTTGAAGTGATACAGGTTTGCAAAGTTAGATAGTTGAAGGAATTTTCAGTGATATTTTAAAATTGGAACAAGTCTTAAGAAGTCTTTTCAACCTTAGAAGGCAGGTCTTGAGCAAGGCCAAACGGAGCAAATTGGTTTTTGGTGCAGTCCAGCTGGAGGGGTCCTTATAGCACTTGGTAGATGGGGTTGCTGCTGCTGTTATCCTGGGGGAGTGGGGTGCAGTTGGTGGGGGAAGGAATTTGGGCTCCAGCATCACTCAGATTCACTCCTTCTGGAGGGGAACAGGGACTCCCTTCAGCAACAGTTTCCACCGGAGGCAGTATAGGGCATGTGGAATTATCTGTGGAAATCCTCTCTACAATGCTTGAGAGGCAATCGAGACTGGAAACAACAGAATTCTTCCCATGCTTTGGATCTAAAAAACAGACAAAAAGGTGCTCAGATTATCCAATGGGTAAGTAACACATTTGTGGGCATGTGAAGACTCAGAGGAAATGGATATTGGTGAAGGACACCAATAGCCAGAAAACAGATTATAATTTCAAAATGGAAGAGAGGTCCAACCACAGTGTGCTGCTCTGGGGACAGGGAGGATCTAAGGCTTCACTGAGTCCATAGAAAGGGAAGAGCAGATTTGAAATCAATCATAAATTACTCCATTTTGGATCAATGATAGAGTAAGACATCTTCATGTAGAATATGGTTAAATGCTGAAATTAGTTGCAGAGAATAACATACTTCTATCCAACTTTCAGATTTGCAAAATGGGAAATACAGCTATAACACATGCCCATATTTGCAAATGCACCTAGAGGAAATCCAGTGCCTCTACTAGCAACAATGGCTTGCTGGCTGGAAAGGCAAGCTCTGCTCTCAGCCCAGCTGGACACGGAGCAGGCACAGGAAAGCTGCTGCACTGCCTGCCTCTGTCTGGTGTTTCACACTGCCGTTGGGGCACGTACTCACCGTTTGGGGACTCTGTGTAGTAGCTGCTGTCATAGCTGTTCCTTCTGCGAGAGCTGCAAGGAGGCCCACTGTACTCCATCTGGGAAGGAGAGAAATCCGAGTGAGGTCAGACTCTTACCCAAATCCCAGGAACCAACTAATTTCATATTTCAGGCTCTGGTCTGTTGCCATCATTCCAGTCCTGTCTGAAATGCCATCAACTTGTAGATTCTTTGAGTAAGGAAAAACATGGCTAGAATGGGGTCCACCCCAGAATATTTTATGTGGCACAGCTGTTCCACAGTTAAGTTACCACTCTTGCATCAAATGCTGCAGCTTTACAGATGAAATTAGGCTTTCCAGCATTCTGATCAGATACAGCCCCTCATGTATCTTTAGTTTACAACAGGGAGACCTGAATGTCCTGAGACCTGTGTGAAAGGGAAATTATGTCTTTTTAATTTAGTTTTTGAAGATTTTTCTAAACATTAATTCCTCTTTACAAGCCTCTGTCTACCTTGTCCCTTTGTATTTCCTTCAGCTTCCCTTCCCATTTCCATTTCATAAAGAAAATGCTCTAGAACATTGACTGATATATTTGTTTCCAATAGTTTAATCCACAATTAAATTCCTGTATTAAAAGAGGCTGTATCTTGAAGAGGAATAATTTGTGCAAATCTCTCCAATCTGTTAAGTATCTCATAATCGCAGATACTCAACTCAGTAAGGACTATCCCCACCAGGGCACAAAAAGCAATCTCTGGTCTGAAAGGGCAGTTCATGGCCTATCCAGAGAGCTGTCCTGGACTCTGGTCACCACATGCCACCAGCCCAGAGTCAGACCAGAGGCTGAACCTGCAGCCCCAGCCAAAAGATGTGGGGATGAAACACCCGCTCTGGCACCCACCCTTCTTCTCCCATGCCCGTAATGTACAAATAGGACTGAAAGCCTGGATTCTCCTTCCTATTGCTTGTAAATATCTATGGAGGGAATGAAGTGAGTGAGAAGAGAAATGGATAATCTTGTTCTTAAGGGTCAAGAAAGACAATTCTTGTTGCTTAGACACTCCTCCTGTTGTCATGATGAATGGCAGAAAACAAAACTCAGACTCTTACAAATTCCCGTGTAACTACCATGTCCTAGGGGGCCCTTGCTCTCTGCTGTCCTTAAGAGGATTCAAAGGTAATGATAGGGCAGAAGATGGAAACAGAGATGCCTCAGGAGCTATGGGATCACAGGCAATGCCCCGAGGTGCCCATTCCAGGCAGCTTCCCAAAGTTCTCCCCCAGCAGCTTTGCCCTGGCTTCTCCAGGACATGGAGAACCTGCCTAACTTCTTATCCCAGGGAACAAAGTGTGTATGAGATTCTTCTTCTTTCCCAGAGATCCTGCCATGTGGGGACCCCACCTCCCTTCGCTGCGGGTGCTCAAGGCACAAGAAAGGACTCTGTCTTCTGCCTGGGGAGGTACAGAAGGCAGCTGCTATAGGAAGGGCAGGAAGAGGTGACTCGCCCTGCTGAGGTTTGGACCAACAGCGTCCAGGGCACCTTGGTGGCAGGGAGCCGTCCCTGCAGCACTCACCATGCCATCGGAGCAGTTGGAGCGGGGGCTGGAGGCATCCGACTCCCCGCTGTAGTGCTCCAGCACCGGGTAATAAGCGTCCTCCTGCTCCCGCAGCAGGGCCTGCAGGCTCTCGATGTAGCGGATGGCGTTGCGCAGGATCTCCACCTTGGGCAGGCGCTGGTTGGGGTTGGTGGAGGTGCAGCGCTTGAGGGTCTCGAAGGCCTCGTTGACCTTGCTGAGCCGCCGGCGCTCCCTCATGGTGGCGGCCTTACGGCGGTCGGCGTTGGTGGTCTTCCTCTTGCACGCCTTGCAGGCCCACAGCAGGCAGCGGCCAGCCTGGTGGTGCCCGCTGGGCGCCCGGACGTGCTCCTCCTCGTGCCCGTGGTGGTGCCCGTGGTGGTGCGGATGCTCCTCGGGCTTCAGCAGACCCCCGACGTGCACCAGCCGGGGGTCCAGGTCCTCGAAGAAGTGCATGTCCGACGTGTTGAAGCACGGGTCATCGTAGAAGTCATCGGCGGCTGTGAAGGAGCAGAGGGAGCCCTCCGTCATCTCCATGGGGCCAAGTAAGTCCATGGGGGCGGCAGACGGGACAGCGGCTAGGCCAGGGGGGACAGCGAGGGGCTCGGAGCGGAGGGGCCTTCGACCGGGCTGCTCTGCGGCCGGGCGGGTGCGCGGAGCCGAGACTCTCGCAGCCTCTCCCAGGCGAGGCCACCAGCGCTGGCTGCTGCCCCGACCCCCTCCGCAGCCGCGCCGGTCCGGGAGCGCCACTCGGGGCCGTATTTATGGCTGAGCCCCCCGGCGCGGCGGGTCGGGACGGGGCGGGCCGGGGGGCGCGGCCGGGCGGGTCGGGGGCCGAGGGGGGGGGTGCGGTGTCCCGCTGGGGCAGCGGCAGCCCGGGCGCTCGGATGCGCGCAGGGCTGCATTTCCCCGGTTTGTTTGTTCCCTTTCTCAGCAGCCCGCCCTGCCGCCGCGCCAGGGAGAGCAGCGGCCCCGATGCCCGAAGGTGCCGCCGGCCGCTCGCCCGGGGGGACAGCGGCGCGCCCCCGCTCTCCCCGCACACACCCGTGGCGGCTCCGCTGGCTCCTCACAGCCCCCAGCCCCTGGACAGCTCTGTCCGCGGCCACAAGGGTAATTACAGCGGGGGCGTTCGTGGGGGCGGGAGGCTCCAGGGGACACCCCGGGCAGCCGGGACCGTGCGGGACGGCGGGGACACCGCGGAGAGCCGGGAGGTGCGGGCAGAGGGAAGCGGGGACACCGCGGAGAGCCGGGAGGTGCGGGCAGAGGGAAGCGGGGACACCGCGGAGAGCCGGGAGGTGCGGGCAGAGGGAAGCGGGGACACCGCGGAGCGGAGGGACGGGCAGGCGGCGGCCACCCGGTGGCGCTGCGGGCCTGTCCCAGCGGGAAGCGCCAGCCTTCCTTCCCCCGGGAATCCCTGGGAACTCTGGCATTCCGGGTTCCTCTTCCAGCTCTGTTCACCTTCGCTCGGAAACCTTGGGAGAGATGGATGTCGCTCCGTGCCGCGGCGTTTTGCTGCGGTTGCGCTGCTGTTGGACGGCTCGCTCGATAAGGATTTGTTTCTAGCAGTGGGAGAGTTTGGAGCCTGGGGAAATGGGATGGGTTTTGGTAACGTCTCTCAAGGGTGCCAGACTTTTTACTCTGGTTTTTTTTTGAGTATTATTTGAGATGGGAAATTAGGTTCTTCTCAGCAGAATTCAGTAATTCAACTATGTGATTTCTCTGACTTAATAATTAAAATAATATATTTAATGCATATATTTATGTATATATACGCATAAATATAAGATAATATATTTAGTGCATATATTTAATGTCCCAAAAGCTAAAAATAATTTCTGGTAAATAAATAAATGTTGGTGAAATTTCAGCTCATTCAAAATCAGCAGCAGAGCTGTTTTCAGTGGGACAAGGGACTGAGCAAAAGGTAAAAAATATCAATGATCAATTCCCAGTCCCCGTGCCTATGACCTCAGATGGGTTGTCATGATGGTGGCTTCTTTTGTTGTTATGCGATTTGTTTTTTGGCAAAAATTCCTTATCTGCATCCTCATTTTCTACTCACCTAAATATCTTTGAGTACAAACCAAGATGAGAACTGTAAATTGCATTCTGTCGGTATCTGTAAAAGATAGGCTTTTTTGAAGATAAAACTATATGTAGAAATTCATTCTTTCAATGTACCTGATGCTGAAAAGCAGCATGTCCCAAGGAGGGAGATCAGCTACTGGCCACCCCTACACATTTAGAAATGTATCTCCCAGCTGTGTCTGAGAGGCAACAGTGGCAAATTTGTGGAGACACTTCAATGTTATTACAGATGTTCTTTGATCCAGAAGGAATAAAGATAGTTGGTTCTAAATCTTTATTGAACTGCTAACAAAGTAAAAATAATTTGTATTCAAAATAGTGCAAGATATACAATAATGTACAATAAATTTAAATGAGAAAGTTTTATGCTGTAACAACTGAACCTGTAAAATGGGATATCAAGGCTTTGTGCTGGCAGTGTGACCCACTCAAGACACTTAAACTCTCTCCAGACCATTGGCTTAATTTTTGGAAAAAGGTAATTTTACCGAATGTTTAGTCAGTATTGTAGCCTATTCTGCCTCTGTGTGTTTGCAGCTTATATGTGACCCCAGGAAAAGACACTCAGAGACTCGAGCGAGTAGGGAGCAAAGTGGGCAAAGTGGTAACAGTAGGGCTTGGACAAGCACTACAGGGAGTTTGCCAATAATTGCCCATGAATGTGGGCTCAAGTGCATTAATTCCTCCAAGTGAAAAGGTCAGGAGAAGGCTGTGACCACAGAGTGAATTCCACACAGTAGTCATCCAGTGAAGGTGCCCTTGAGGACACCTTCCTTTGGGTTTGGACATGCTGGTCTCCAGACATCCCATCCAATCCTAATAATTCTGATTCTGTGATTCCCTGCTGATGCCATCCACTTTCCAGTGTCATTCCCAAAGACAGGTTTGTCCAGAAAGATGTTGCCATGTACAATGCGACCTGAAAAAAACATCCTTGCAAAGAACAAACCCTGAGATGCCCTTCTCAGTTTTGTGTGGCCACAGTGGAGAGAATGAAGGACAGAACAATCTTCACTTGGAGACTTTTAAGGGCATTCCTCAGTCTGAGTTCAGGCAACCACAGGTAGTGCTTATGGCAAGCATTTACAAGGATTCCATTGTTAAACCTCTTTGAAAGCCTCTGGGGCTCTAACTCACAATTTCAGGTGAGATAGGTCTCTCCTGAGCTTTCAGTTTGGATGCTCTGTTTAGGGTACTGGTGCTACACTGGCTATTCAGAGCTGTCCCAGGTTGTGTGTTTGGATTGTTTGGGCACTGCTTTGGAAGTACAGATACAGGGAGTGTGTCTCGAGTATTCAGCAGAGAAAGATAATTTGCAAAGTTTCTATAAGAGCTGCTGCCCTTAACCTATTCTACATTGATCTTTGATATATTGTTTTTCAGGATGTGATTGCAAAGGAAGCTGGGAAGGCAGAAGTAGATTGTTCTTTCTAGTTGAGAAACATGGATAGACTCATCCTACACACAACTGATAGGTATTTAAATCTGAGACCATACTCACAGGCATTTGTGCCCTCTGAGCAGAAGCAGCACATGGACAAGAAGAGCTTATTACCTTATTACCGCAGTAACTGATTGATTTCTCTTTTCTTTTTCAGAGGATAGAGGCTGGGGAAACAGCTGATTGTGAGTTTATTTGGAATTAGCAGGATTGTGTTTAGAGGCAGAGGGCCCAGAACATGTTTTGGCAAAGCAAAAGGGAGAGAAAAAGACTTAAATTCTTAGAGTGTGTGGATACATTTCATTAGAAGATGAACATGAGAAGTCTGAGAAACAGACATGGCACTACTTCGTGGAAAAATAAGAGGCAAGTAAGTCTGGCTCTAAAAAATGTAAAAGTCGGGTTCTTTGTTATGTTGGACTTTGTTAAATGCTGTAAACCATGGATGAAGCTGTATCTACGTTTCAAGTCATCAGCTTTTAAAAAGTGAAGGTTGTTGTACAAGTAGGTCAAACATTGCAAGTGGTAATGAAGTAGTTTTATACAGCACTATTTAGAATTCAGTTAGTAGCTTTGCTCTGTTCACACTTAGTGGGCTGTTTTTTAATACTGAGGGGGGTGGATTCCATTGCTCTTATTCATGTTGAGTTGCAGTCACTGGAACTAATTGTTGAATAAGGTATGCTCAGCATGAGGATGGGTGATGGAATCTAGCCCAGATGGAAATATCTTTTAGAGTCCTGCTGTATTAGACAGCAGAAATCTCAACACAGGCAAATCTGGCATGATTCTAAAAGTGCTTTGAGTCATTCCTGTGGCACATGGCAGTATTTTTATAGATGAATACAGAGGTTGTTTTAAAGTGGTTGTGTTCCCCATCCCCACCCCAAAGTTAAACCACATTCACAGAAAAGACTGGGAAAACATCTGCAGTGTAATTTTCTGTCCCATGTTGTAACACCAACAGAAGGTGGGCTTTGCAGAAATTGCTACTTAACTGTAGCTGTATCAGAGTTTACTGAAAATGTTATTATGAAGTGCTTTAGAGTAACACAGTTTTCTGGCATTTATTTTCACTCTGTCGTACTCTTCCATCATGTACAACTTCCTCAGATGCAGAAAAATAGTGGTGCAGTTTTGTATACATATGCAAAATCTCTTGGAGAAGAATACCAGCATGCCTGGGTGGTGAATTGAGGAATACACTGGAGATACAGACATAGAACTGAATTTATTTTCAAGCAAAACAGGAGTATCAGCTGAAGTATTACATGAAAGTGTGAGGCAGTCTTCCAATGAATCAAACCCCATAAAAGATGTATATAATGACAAAAAATTCCTAACTGCAGGCAGCTGATCTAGCCAGTTGCTCTTCTTAGGTGACCTTGGGAGCCAGGGTGTAGAATGAGGCACTCTGGCAGGGAACTAATGAGAGGAATTTGGACACCTCTGCACTTGAACCAAGCTGGCTAACACTGCCCTAATTGAAAAGCGAAACTAATGAGTACCCATTCTCTCTGATGCAATTCTAGTTAAGTGTGCTGTTTTTTCACTAGGCTCTCATGCCCCTACTTGGGACCAAAGAGGGAATATAAGAAGTAGCAGGAGTGCCACAGTAATTCCATTAGTGAGCCAGCTGAGATAGGGCTCTGTATCATAATTAAAGCAATCACCCTACATTAAGTCTGGACAAAGTCCTAGAGCTACTCTCTTCGGTGACCCTTGCAAAATATGCCTTAGAACCTCTAAAGTTCTCATCTAATGACAACTCCTAATTTCTCTCTCATCTGCTTTCTGAGGATGAGAAAAGCCAACTAGGCAATAACTATAGAGAAATCAGCACATTTTCTTATTCCCACTGTTGAGGAAATGTTTGCATCCTTCATCCTGAAGTAGAAATAGCTGATCAGTAAATGCATTAGACTACTTATTTAAATTGCTAGTATGATAGAAATAAGATAAAAATCCCATTGTTTTTGAATAAGTCTTTTTAAAAAGTTCATTATGTTACTATACTTGTTAATAATTTAAAATACCAAATAGTAAAATATTCAGTAATATAAAACTAAATATTGGGATTTTCTGCCATGTAAAAGTTTCCTTGCATTAAAGGTGCAGTGATCTATTTTTTATTTATTTTAATAAAATTCATATGTATCTTAAAATAATTTGCACTAACTGGTGCTCTTAATCATTTAAGAGAAAGAAGAAGCTTATTTTGGCTTCTAGGAAGATTTGCATAGATAAATGTGACAATCTAGCTGGCAACCTTGCTGTCATTTAAAGCAAATAGTGGCATGGGCTAGATTTTGAGCTGTGACTCAGCACAGGATGAGGGGATGGGGTGTAAAGCAGGAGGAGGGACGGAGCATCATGTCTCCTGAGTTTTGGTCCCAGCTCCACCCTCAGGACAGGTCTGCCTGAGGAGCTGCCCTGTAGCTGCAGCAGCCTGAGCATTAAAGGCCCTCCCTGCCCTGCTTCACCTTTGCTCCCATGCCATCATTACACTGTGGCAGCATCGTGGTGCAGTGTATGGTTGCATATATCGGCCCTATGCCATTTCTGTGCTGGGAGCATTCTCTCTGGGGTCGCTTCAGACCTTCTGCAGCTCCTGTGCACTGCTGGAGAGGTGGGCAGGGGCTGCAGTGATCACTGGACTCTGGCTCTATGCTGGTCCTGAACTCTTTCTGCAGCCGGTCCATAAAGTAATCCCCAAGACTATTTCTGCCATCCTGGGAACAGTCAAGCCTGCGAGCATTGGTCAGCAGATCTCCCATCAGCTTGATCTTCTGGATTTTGGGCCCAATAAATTGTTTCTTGATAGTGCTTGCACTATGAGGGTCTGCATTTTCAACACTCAGGGCATAAAGCTCTTCAAAATATCGCAGCATAGTTTTCCATTGTACCATTGCTAGTTCCAGGGCTTTCATCAGACCGACTGCATAATCACAGTTTGGTTTCTGAAAACAAAGACAGAATTGTATTTACTCAAAATAACTGCTCATGTATCTGTATTCATCAATGGATTCCTGCAACTTAACCTCATGATCTAAAAATGTTGTACTAGGATTTTGCAACAACTGCTTCCAGTTTGGAGCATCTATTGTTTTTTCAGGCTGTAAATACAAGTGGCAGAACCCAAGCACTTCTTCAAGGAACAGATTTGCATAGCAGCAACTATGCCTGAAGAGGGTTCTTACACCAGGAAACCCAGTCATAGAATGGTTGGGGCTGGAAGGGACCTTAAAATCATGTTGTCCCAACCCTCTGCCATATTCCACTAGACCAGGCTGCTCAAAGGCCCATCCAACCTGGCCTTGAACACTCCCAGGAATGGGGCATCCTCTACTACTCTGGGCTTTTTTTTCTAGTGTCTCACCACCCTCACAGTGAAGAGGGACTTCCTAATATCTAGCCTAAATATCTGCCCTCTTCCAGTTAAAAATTGTTATCCCTCATCTTAACACTGCATTCCCTGACAAAGAGTCCTTCTCACTCTTTCCTGTAGGCCTTTAAGTACTGGAAGTCCTAAGTTCCTCCTCGATGCAAACTGAGTATTAAGAAAGATTTTTACAATAGCCTTTTAACTTTCTACAGCTTAACTGCTACAATGGACCAAAGAGGAGCATTCTGTATAATTTGGTAGAGGAGAATCAGCCTCTTGGTCTTAAACAAATGAGGTGGGTTTTTTTTTTCCTGAAAACATTTGAGTTATTCCTTTGCACCGGTGCAAGCCCAAGTTAGATCTTAGTTCAAATTCTGTCTCAAGCTGTACTTTAGGAAATCACCTACTGCTCCAAGCTGGATGGTTCTCCTTCCTTACCACTCTTCTTAAGTGTGAGTCTTGTCTAAGCTTCCACTTAGGTTGTGTGTGAAGGAAACAAGTGGGCTGTTTCAGCACAATTTAAGGAGTCATAATCCATTATAGCATAGTAGAAACAGCAGTGTCCAGCTGAGTAAAAGCAAAGGGAAACTGTCCATATTCTTTTGGGCTGGAGAGCAACCCCATAGAGTTAGGACTGCATGTCTGACAGTTTCTAGGCATCACAATCAAGAACAAAACCTTCTACACAAGTATGCCACGTAAATTATATCTGGAAATCTAATAGTGGGTGAATGCAGAGATCTGAAGTACCAACAATATAATTCAGTAAGTTAAAGGGAGCACAGCTGCTTGAAAATTTGTTGACTACTACCCACCTGGATGGTTTTAGAGCAGTAATTGCCTCCTCTTTCCTGCTGATACTTCATCAACGCCTCTGCGGCTTTTCTCTCTTCCAGAGCTTGATGCAGGAAGAACTTCGAAATATTTGGTAGAGCCACATGTGACTGATCAAAATATTCACCCTAAGCACACAAAACAAGAGTGTTAAGATTTGACAGATATGGGACTCACCTTCAGCAGAATGTGGCTTTAACAGAACTTGGGAGACCCTTCCAGAGGAGGGTGATTTGTTCACAAAGCACGATCACTTTGGAGACCTTGATCCGATTTCTACAATAAATGAAGTGAGTAGTTTGAGTATGAAATGAAAAATCTGTGCTTCTACTAGAAGTCCTTCTATCCTTTAGTGCTGGTCAGGCAGCTGTAGTCATGATGTTGCTCTTGCAGGAGCAGTTAAGAGATCTTCAGAATATTTTATTTATGAATTGTTAGCATATGTGTGTTTTGTAATTGTGTTTTGTGGAGGGTTTTTGTTTTGTTTTTTAAACATACTCCCAGAACAGGGAACATAAAATTTATCCCTGCAGGCCTGCATTCCAGTCAAAAGTTAGCTTTCAAAGATATGAGAAGGATGAGGCAAATACCAAAAAGAGAACAAGCACAACTTTACATCTGTTTATCAGTTTTATTATGGACAATGGTATTCCAAAATAATGGATACTGCTACTGAACTCTACACCTTCAATATAAGATATAACTCATGCCTGGGAAGGCATCTCAGGAAGAACATCAATCTGTTGGAGCAAGTCCAGAGGAGGGACACACAGTTATTAGAGGGATGGAGCTCCTCTCATGTGAAAGGCTGAGAGAATTGGGTTTGTTCAGCCTGGAAAAGAGAAGGTTCTGGTCACCTAATTGTATCCTTCCAGTACCTATAAGAAACACAGAGAGGGAGTTTTTACTACAGCATGCAGTGACAAGACAAAGGGGAATGGCTTAAAACTGCAAGAGCAGGTTTGGATTAGGTATTTGGAAAAAAACTCTTTACTGTGAGGATGGTGAGACACCAGAAGAGGTTGCCCAGAGAACTTGGCTTTGAGCAGCCTGGTCTCGGGAAAGGTGTCCCTGTACATGGCAGGGACATTGGAACTTGATGGTCTTTAAGGTCCTTTCGAACACAGGCCATTCTATAATTTCAGAAGTATTACAACCCTAAATCCTCTGCTGGCCTTGTTCTGTTCTGTATGGGAAAGTAACAACTTAAACCACTGCCATATTTAACCATGCTAACAGACCTAACAGCTCTTATATTTAGAATATTCTATCCATGTTATGGCTGTCTCATAAAGAGAAGTATTACAGGCAGGTAGCAAAGGAGAGCCAGCAGGTTACCCTGGCTGGAACACTGGTTTTGCACAGCTCTGATGGTGAGAAGAATGAGAGGCAGCAGCTGGGACTTTGCCAAGAACCAAACTGAGGGAGCTACAGCATCCTGATCTGCTGGTGCCCTGACCATCAGTGTTTTCAGAATCCTTTTCCTCAAGTCACTCATTCCTGTTTCTGTTGACAGCACAGCCAAGATTGTTTTATAAGCAGTTCCTCAGTGAAAGTGTGCAGCACAACTTCAAGTGGAGTTCAAGTTAACACATCTGCTTAACTGTTAAGGTAAATCTTTTATGTCAATCATTCTCTATTTAGGATGTTCACATTTCTAGGTTTGATTTATCCAAAGTCAATTTCTAACTGAGTTTTCTCCATCTCATCCAGCTGCCAATCACTACAACTTTTTTCTTCCACAGGCTTAACAGGTTTTACTGCATACTTAAATTTACATTGAACTTATGCTTCATATCAAACTCAATTGAAAGATCTTGGGGATGTACTGAATATCGTTTGTGTTGCTTCCCCGTGGATGCTTGCCATCAGAAGGTATGGCATTGATAATTTTGAGTTTTAAAAGAATTTTAATATCTCTGTTAAGTTATATGTTTGCCTTATATGTAGCCTTATATGTAGCCAGATGCAATTCTGGCATGAATTTGACATGGTATCAGTGATGCGTTTTATGATTTAATGTCCGAAGTTCATGCCTGTGGAGCAAGAAACCCACAGACTATAGTGAACAACACGCAACTATTCATCAAAGTTTGGGGAAAAACCCACTCAAGCGTTTTACTGCAAAGCTGTTAGCATCCCCTGTTCCTGTCCCTTTTCCCCAGGCAAGAGGCCCTCTGTGAATTACCCAAAACACCCGAGCGCTCGTTTCATGGCCCGCGCCTTACGGACCTTCCTCCTCGTTTCGTGGCCGTGCGCGGCTTTGGCAGGAGCGCTGCGCCAGCGGGCTGGGGAGCCCGGAGAGCCTCCAAACCCCGTGTCAGGACACAGGCACCGCTGTGCCGCCCCCGCCCGACTCCAAACCCTCCTCAGCCGGGCTCCGGCACCCGCTCTCCCCGCTGCCGGCGCTTAGGCAGCCCTCCCGCCGTGCCCCGCCGCGGCCCGCCGCCTTACCAGCGCCTGCAGGCAGTAGTGCAGCTCCAGCTGGGCGCCGGTGACGCCGCAGAGCGCCTCCTCCACGGCGGGCGGGAAGCCGTGGCGGACGCGGCTGGCGGGCAGCGGGCGGTGCGCGGGGCAGGCGGGCAGCGGCACCCGCGGCCGCTTGGAGCGCGGCTCGGCCATGGCCGGCACCGCCATGGGCCCGCCGCGCCGCCGCCGCGCCGCCTGATATAGCCGGGCACCTGGGACACACCTTGCGAGCCCGCCCGCCCCGGGAGCAGGAGGAGGAGGAGGATGTGGGTGTGCGGATGCGGGCGGGCCCTGGGCAGGCGCGGCGGGAGCGCCGACAGCGCTGAGCAGCCCGGGGAACCCGCGGGTGCCAGCAAACAGCGTGAATAGTGAATGATTGGATTTACCTTAACAGTTAAGTAGATGTGTTAACCTGGCCTCTACTTGAAGTCGTGCCGCACGCTTGTGCTGAAGAAGTGGTTAAAAAACATTTAATCTTGGCTATGAGTGACTTGAGGAATGGGATTCTGCAATGAGTGTTTTTAATAAAACATTCCAGTATGTGCTTTCTCTTCAGTGGTTCATGATTACATGTGTACATGTGTCATAGGTTTGGTCCTACGAACATAAGAGAAAAACATAAACTTGTGTGTTTAACATGCTTTCATTTTCTTTCCAAACAGAGCAACACAACTAAAGTGAAAGTATTTCCTATTTAAGCAGGGTAATAGAGGAAAGCAGAGAAGACAATCAGAAGCAGAAGAACTTAGGAAATGCACATACTTCTTGCTTGCCCCTCCTAGGCAGGCTACAAGCCAACAGCTCGATATGCAGCTACGTGTACTCTGGTGCAGAGCATGTGCAAGGGACAGCAGCTGTGCTGTGTTGCACATGCATGCCCAAGGGACAGAAGCTGTGCTGTGTTGCACACTGATGGTCAGGGCACCAGCAGATCAGGATGCTGTAGCTCCCTCAGTTTGGTTCTTGGCAAAGTCCCAGCTGCTGTCTCTCACTCTGTTTGACATCAGAGCTGTGCAGAGACAGTGTAACCTGCTGGCTCTTTGCTTCCTGTCTCTAACACATTGTCTATATGGGACAGCAATATCGTGGATAAAACTCTTCTAATGTAAGGGCTGAGCCCTTTTCCAGGCAGTCACATTCAGTACCTCTGGTTCCAGCAGCCTCATCTGAGATTGTGGCCAGGCTGGGCCGAGGCTGGAGTGACTGGTGAGAACATGCAGGCAGAGGCATGTTCTCACCTCCCTCATAGGGAGGGAGTGAGCTCTGAAAAGTCCCGGTAATTTAGCAATGTGTGTATATGTCTTTGCTACAGGGTAAATTCTTTAGGTTTTTTGATTTAGTGCTGAACTGGTCCTACCTATGGTTCTTAACCTATCTTCAGTATTTTAGTAACCAGTAACCCTCAGCTTGTACAGTAACTTGAAAACACACATTACTGATTTTTTCAACTGTTTTACCACGTGGATGGAGCTCGGCATTTCTTGAGCATTTCTTTACCTTTAATGGATTCAGACCAGTGGAGAGGAAATATGAGTAATCTCAATACCCTTCAAAATCAATAATTTTCTCTTCAGTGACTTTGTTTAGTAAGCTCAATGTTATGTGCTGTTTTGTGGAATATTTTTCTAGAAGACCACTCCCCCACCAACCCCGGATGCTAAGGACAGAATCATTTTCCATTGCCTATTTTAATTGTTATTGGATCTGACTGCCTGGAGCCCAGCATGCATCATCTGACAGTAGTCGTGTAGAGATATGAGAACATTGCTCATGAGAAACTTAAATAATTCTTGTTCAGTGCCTCCATCTCATATGCTAATTCAGCCCTCTTTGTTAGCTGTAATTATCCATTTTTTACTTCTGGTTCTTCATGTTGTAGTTAAATTAGATGTTTCGCTTTAAAAAATTAAACAGGATTTAAGCATTTGGGTAAAAATTCATGTGAGTAATATAACTGTAATGTTTGCAAGGCTGAAATAAGTACCCAAAGTCATTAAATGTCAATATATTGACAAGACACTTGAGTGACATATGACCTTATTTTGAAGTTCTCAGTAGGCATCCTCTTCTTCAAAGTAGCACTAGGGATTTTTGTTGGAAGGACATACCTCTATCAACTACCTTTTAGTTCCTTCCATTCCAGCTGTCCTTGTTTTGGCCTGTAAAGTAGTCGCTAGTGTTTTATAATTCCAGAATAATCCCTTGATTCCCTCAGAGGAGGAGGAAGAGGAGAAAGTGTGGTGCCTCTGTGTGTGTATGCACTGACATCCCAACTTAAATAAATACTTGATGACTTCCTTTCTTTGAATAACTTGAAGTGTGAAATAGCTAGAGCAAGGAAGTTAGCCAGTGTCCCCATGGAAAAGTTTGTAGTTGTATTTAGTTAATTGGGCATTTATTATGATAATTTCTGAGCATATAATCTCATAGAGGTTTGTCTCTGCATTAATGGGCTTTGGAGCCTTGGAAAACAAGTTATCCCATTTCAGTGGACAGCTAAGAGACAAGAGCAGTTCTTAAGGCCATCTGTGATGCATAGAGCTGATCTGAAAACTGACTAGAAAATTCTTTATACTCCATATGTTCATCTTGTACATACACCATTCAGTTTATTTTGCTTTGTGCTTCATGGAACTGAAGGAAATACAGACCATTTGCATGGTTATCAATTGTATTATGGAAAAATTCCATGACAAAGTGATATAGGGATTCTTGCTACATAGCATGAAGTATGCTATTTGTATCTGGACTGGGGAAGGTATCATCTGCTCCAAAAGCTTGTGCCCTCAAGAAATGCAGCATTCCAGGGAGCTGGCACTTTGTTCAGTTTCTTAGTTACAGCTTTTCAGCACAGAATCGCAGAATATTCTGAGCTGGAAGGGACCTACAAGGGTCATCAAAGAGTTGGTTACAGGCACATGCCTTGATAAAAGGTATCTTTTCATTTTTATAATTTGGCATGATTTTGGTACAACATATTTTCAAGTGTGTTGAGAGTGTATTGCAGAGTGGGAAGCCAAAACACCACAGTGTGGGATACAGAACTACAATTAAAATTCCATCAAAGTAAGCTCTCTTACACGCAAACCCATACCTTCTCTACTCCTCCCCACTCCTTTTTCTGCTTATTCTTTGGCAGAGTGCAGTAGAGAGGATTGTTTGTGTCACTGAGCAGCCTTCTCAAAATATTCTTTCTCCTGAGCCTACTTTGCAAACGTTTAGTTGTATCTGGCCATTTTCTACCCTGATTGTCTCATTTAAAGCTAGATTCTTTTGGCTGCACTTTGTGGTCTGGAGTTGGTATTGTTTATTCTTTCACCACAGGTAGTAAGAGTTGTGGCTGTTGCTTCTCTCCAGCTACCATCTGTTTGCTTCTTTCTAGCTGTGATGGGTTTTTCATGTGCTTTGCAAATAGTCTATCTAATGCTGCCAGAGTTTTCTCTCATTCAGTGCTCATCAATAGCTGTGATGGAAACAGAGGGCTGTGTGAGGAAAAAGGAAAAAACAAATAAATGTATGATTAGGATGCTGGTGAATTTGCCTTCTTAATTCATCACTTTGTTTTGTAATTAAGTGAAACCAAAGCTCTCTGGCAGGAAATTAGGAATGATTCATATGAACACCCATGACTTCATGATTGCTTTTATTAAACTTGAAGTCCCTTAACCCATTTTTCTTACACTTTTCTGGTCTCAACAGGTGCTTCATCTCACTATTTTTTCCCCTTTTTTACTTCCTTTATCCACGGAGGAAGAGCCAGCACGACTTCTGAGTTGTTTTGTTGCCTTTTTGCACTGTATGACTCATAAAGTTAAAAAAGAAGCCTGAAATTTGGAATGTTACTACTTAAGTAAGCATAGCAAAATAACCTCTTTTAACTGGCTTTCAATAAAAGTGGTCATCAGCAAAACATGAGATGGCCCTGGAGAGACAGCAGTGTTGTGACCAGGCTGCAACATGGACATTCTGGAAAATATTGTTTTTCTCTTTGTCACTGACCAAATGGAAAGGGCCAGTTTGCTATAGTGCTCTGAAATCAGCATTTTTTAGTGACACAAGAAAGGGATTGCTCAAAAATAAAGCCTAGTCTCTTTGAAACCAGTCTTGTTGCTGTCAAACAGAACAGACAGAAGCCTGTATTTTGGGTTTATAGGTACTGAAAATTACTATACTGTGCCAGATCTGCATGTATTTTGCATATATTCAGTTTAATAAAATGAGGTACCATTATGAAATTCAGTTTGAAAAATACTTGGATTAACTTTTAATTTTGGAAATAAATTTTAAATGCCTTTTTTTGGCTTTTTTTTTTCCTTTTGAAGCACTCACCTCAAATACTCCAAGCCTTAATTTTCATTTGCTTTCCTTTTCTAGAGTCCCAAAAATTTCTTCCTGGCATTGAGATTTTTGTGTTTGCCAAACATCCTTTACTGCAGTGTTTGAGGCCAGATGAGTGTTTGAGGATGTTCTCACCAGTGGAAACAGCCATGTCTTTTTTGCCTTGAGTTTTCCCTCATTGCTTCAGTAGCTTGATAATGTTGTGACACTTTTTGCCTCTGTTGTAACTTTTATCTCAGTTTGTTTCCATAGGCTTCCCAGGCACAATTCTGCATGGCACAGATACTGAGATGTTGGCTCATTGCCTCTCTTCTTTGGCAATTAAGTTCTTCCTTAAGGAACTTTCTGAATGCTGGATGACATAAAACATTGTGATATATATATAGAATTCTTTGAAACTTCACTGATTGAAATCTGTCCTTCAAACAGAATGTGCCCACAGGCATATCTCTGCTGTGTCTAAAGCTAACATAGCTTTAAGCTTGTAAGAGTTTCTGAAATGCAAGCAAAGCTTATCTTTATCCTTGTGTCACAGAATACATATAGGAGTGTTTTCTAATCCATGCTGTTTTCTTCTCTGCAGTATTTCAGTTGGATTATCTGTAGTTAATGCTTGCTGCTACCATGGGACCCTTCCAGGAGCGGAGTTTGGAGATGGACAACCTCTGCTGCTTCTCAGCCAGGAGCTGCTCTGGGGCTTTGGTGTAGAGGGCACATCCTGCCTGTGTACCCCCAGCCCTCACCCTCCTGCTGGTCCCCAGGTGCCCCTCCTTTCTTTTCTTTCTGCCTGGGAGCTCTTTCCCACTGCTGCACAGCCACAGTGCTCAGGCAGACTCATCCTCTCCCTTCCCTCCACTGTCCCTTCTCTGGACCCTGGGGAAAACTGTGCTAACAGGAGGTTTGGGATCTGTGTGTAGCTCTGCAGTCAAGCCTAGAAGATGTAAGTGCATCTCAAGTGCCTTGACAAACTCTTGCTGTGACTGTTGTGCCCCGGTTAGCATTTGCCCCCTTCATCTTTCCCCTGTTGTCTCAAGTCCAGCTGCACGTGGCCATGTTTGTGTAACTGCCTACAAGTGTGGGGCTGCAGGTCAAACTGGGCTGTGGCCACTGTTTAACTCATGTCTAGAGCCTGTATGTCACTATTTTCTCTTAAGCACTTACCACTCTGCAATTTTAAATGTTGACAAATCCCCTACACTGAGTTGTGCACTGTTGTCTTTTCTCCTTGTATTCACAGAACCATCACATGTCCTGACTCAGCTTACCAGCTCAGCCGTGTCTGTGGGAGCCCAGGCTCTGGCAGCACTGAGGAAGGCCATGCCTGGGGCTGGGCAGAGGCAGCAGGGAGAGCTGGAGCCCAGGGGCAGCCTGTGCCCTCAGCTGGTGGCTGCAGAGGAGTGGCAGCCTGGCTGAGGAAGTTCCAGCCTGGCTGGCAGCATTGCCTCTTCCATCTCCACTTCTGCCCTTATAAATACACTTGAGTTTTAGGTGGGCTATTCATTTCTAGTGCTACTAGCTGATACTACCCCTTTGGTTTTTCTAAAGAGGCTGTGCTTAGGAGTAAGTTTCTATAAATTGGCAGGGTTCATCTGCTTCTGAGATTTTGCAATTGTTATTTCAGGTCACATTTAAAAAAGCATAGGCCAGCAGATGTAAGGCTCATCCATGCAATCTGTCTGTGGTATATCATAAGTTTGCAAGTGGAAAGCACAGGACCTCAGCACTGGAGATTATTTAAGGTGATTCTGTGGAATTTCTGAAAACATGAGGCTTGCCCCAGGCAATGTGTTGCATAAGGGAGTTGTGCAATGCCAAACTGCCTAAAGTCTGCCATAATTTGTATACTTTGTGTACTTGCCTTTCTAGTCTAACTTCCTTTCCACAGGAAGGGGTTAGAATCTGTACTTACTCTTGGGTAAATGAGAAAATGAGATTTGACACATTGAAAAAGGCAGAGGCTTTCTTTGTGTGTGTGCAGCCTGTGCCATCTGCAATCAGTGACCAGGTAATGCCTTCCAGGCAGTGTGAACTTCAGGAGATGCACCCAGTGCTCCTGGTGTCCCTTGAGGGGACTTCAGGCCTCTTTGAGGTCTGCATGAGCAGGTGCACTTTATACATACTCAGAATATCTGGGCTAGAAGAAGTAAACTGTGGGCAAGGAATGGAGGTCCAGAAACCATTTATTGTCTTGCTGCTGTATGCTACTGATAATGAGTGTTGATAGAGTCCCCGCTAGTACCAGGAGCACCTTATTCTGAAGTACAGGGGCTCCTGGGAGTTAAACTGGTTTGAGTGATGCCATTTGCTACTTGGCTTTAGAGAGAAGAAATTAAAGCCACAGTTGTGGTAAGAGGAGCATGAAATGTTTTCAGGTGAAGAGGAAATGATTCTGAATGTTTTGGCTTTTGTAATCACGAAAAAAATAACAAATCATAATTTTTGTAAAAGAATCCTTTCAAAGTCTTGGTGAAACTGCTTGAGAAAAAAAGATATTTGAAATTTTAGTGTGAACATTCATCAGCTAAATGTTTGTTTAAAATTTTGTAATTAGATGGAACCTTTGGTGGTGAATCAGACAAAGCAGAAGTGGATAATTTCACTCAAGCATCATGGATCTTAAAGGCAATGCTGAACTCCAATGAAGTAAGTCCTCTTCTAGTTCCAGTCACAAATGACGCTTTATTGCTGCTTTTTGGTCAAAGCACCTCTTTTAGACCATCTTCATTGTCTAAGTGTTGTGATTCTCTGGGGTATCTCTTTCCCTATCATCTTCTGCCTAATTCCATGTTAATGGCTTTAAATACATTTTTAAAACCTTACTATGATAGGTAGTATTGCAGATTGTAGTAAGTCTGTGGCAGTATATCCCAGACAAAGTATTCTCTTCCAATCTGCAAGGATCAAACAATTTTTTTTTCAATTTCAGTATCTTTTCGCAGAGTGTTTGTTGAATTGAGCATTCTCCTGATTTCCCTGGAATTAAAAGATAGAACTCAGAGTATGTTTGGCTCCTATCACTTAAAGCAGTAATCTTGGGAAGTTAATTATTTTGATCTTTAGGACACAGTGGCATCACCCACAGTGATGCAGTGAAATCCTTCACTTTTTGATTTTTAAACCATCCAGTTGCTTTTTTTTTTTTTTTTTTTTTTTTTTTTAAGAATTCTCTGGGTTGAGTATTTACAAATTTCTTAGAACATTTTGTTCTCTGATTTAAATCCTGCATACCAAGTGCCTGCCTGGGGCAAAGACAAAAAAAAGAAAAGTTAGCTTTGATACTCTAAAACTGGTTGAATAAATCCCGTGCAGCTGGCCTGCGTGAAATGTGCCCAGTGACAGCAAGAGGCAGCGAGGATTCGGAGGGATAGGGAGAGCTCTGTGCTGTCAGATGCTGCAGTGTTTTATTGCTTTGGCTGGGAATGGCAGGAATGTGTAGGTATCTCTACTGCTCACTGTAAGGGTGCAAAGTGGTTCCCTCAGGCACGTGCGTGGACAAAACTGCTGCACAAGTGTGCAGTGTTGCCTTCTGTGTATGTTTGTACATGTTCTGGTGTTTTCCAACTTTGGAGCTGTGGTTAAAGCCTTAAAGGGAATGTGTGAGTCTGCAGCAGCTGAGAATACGTTTCCAGCACTGGAGGTTCCCCTGTGGTTGAGTGTCTGTCCCATCCTTGGTAAGGAATTGTCTAACCTGTACTGTGGTGTTCATCAAGGGAAATTCTTGGAGACTTATTTAAGTGTTCAAGCCAATGCAGTACAGGTTACACTTGTCTGTACTTGCAGGTGAGATGTCAGGGATTATTATGGATTGGAGAGGATTTTTTCTGCCTGTGCTGTTCTCACTACCAGCTCTGTTCATCCAACTGTCTCTCATCACTTTGCTTCTCTTTGTACTATAACCCAGCTGAGACATGGTCCTGAGGGAAAAGTGCCGTAAATCTGAATCTTGAAAAGTCAAGAATTAAAAGATGCATAGCTCAGGAAAAGAAATTTTGGAATACAAAGTTAGGAAGGCTGTGAGTGGTTCACATGAACAACTTGCAGCAAGGTCATGTTTTCCTCTGAAAGTGCGTCAACAGGAATTTGGAAATCCTGCTTTTACTTGGATGGTGTGAGCAGAGTGCTTTTAGCCATACTCTGCAGTGCCATCTCTGTGAATCCAGCTCCATTCTCAGGCTCCAGAGAGCTTCCAGGTTCTCCAGAAAGAAGCACAAGTGTAACTGTAGTGATTGAGATCAGATTTATAGAACTGGCCTCTGGAGCTCAGAATGGCAGGACTCAGAAAAGAAGGAAACATAGAGGCTTTCATTACTTCAGGTGTTTATCAGAAATACATTAAGAGGGACTTTAAAAAAGAGATTTGTATGTATTGGATGGTAAAAAAAATTCTAGCAAAATGAGGTAAGAATAAAACTTCACTTGGAGACAGTTTGGCCAATAGTTTCTGACAGGGGTTTTTGGTTTGTTTTTCTTTTTTTCTTTTTTTTTTCTTTTTTTTTGTTTGTTTGTTTTGTTTTGTTTTGTGTTTTTTTTTCTCTTTCTGTGTCATTTGCAGAGATCCTACATTGAAATTATGCTCTGTCCTACAGGGACCACTGGCTTGAGCAAGTGCATGACAATTCTTGGGATGCCTGTGCTGAAAGACTTCTCTTAATGGACCTTGATGGGGTTTGATTTCATTTGTTCCAGAATGGGATTGCCCTTCTTGCTGTTGCTGCAGGCTCATGATCTGGACCCAGCCCTAGGACTCAAGCAGGACTGAGGGACACATGGTAAGATTGTGTTACCTGTGCACAGGAGGATTATGAAATCTGGGATGTGTAGCTTGTGACTTTCACCTGTCTGGTCTGAAGCAAGAGACAGGTAAGTTTCTGATGGAAGAGCAATGGAGAGCAAGGAGAGGAGATGAAAAATCCTTAGGAAAGCTAAAAACAGAAGAGCAGCAGCACTGAGAGTGGGCCAAATTTTTAGTTGTGTATGTGAGCATTACTCATATAACTTCAAGAGAGTACATGCTTTAACTGAGCATGTACCAGCTGAGGACTTGGCCCATAATGTCCTTTATAAAGCTCTGGTTCCTCCCCAAATAGTTTTTCCCTCCCTCTTCAAAGGGCACCTGTTGTTGGTGGAGTTGGTGATGATACTGGATTAGTGCACATGCGGTCAGCCTGCTTGGCCTCGGCCCTTTGGACCCAAAATGAACTCCAGCTGCTGCTGCCCAGAGCAGGTGCTTCATCCAGCCCGAGCAGCTGTTTGAATGCACGCTGTCATGGCCAAGAGCAGGGGGAGCTCCCCTGGAGGACCCAGAGGAACGACTGATCAGCAGCAAGCAAGGAACAGGGAAGTGTGCCATGGAGACCTGTTTTTTATACCCAGCAGACAAAAATTGTTCTAGTATTTCCTTGTGGAAATAGGGAACAATGGCTGTCCCTCTGCATCCACTGCCTGCCCAGTACCATGATGGATTATGGTTCCCAAAAATAGGCTGAGGGACCACTAAAGACCAGCAGGGCTGGTCAAAGCTCCAGTGAGTGGCCCAGCAAAAGTGAGATTGGGCGTAGAATTATAGAATAGTGCACAGGCTAATGGCCTGCTACCTGTGATAGCTTGGGCTTCACACTCACACTGCTAGAGGGAGAAAAACAAAAGCAGAGATAATTTGGGGTGTGAAGCAACTACAGGGAACAGTGCTAGGGAATGGAGGCAGATGGTGTGTGTCGGTGTGTGTGTGTACATATATCTGTATATATCTATCTATATATATATATATCTATCTCCATATACTTGGGAGTATATGAGTATATGTATGGAGATGTAATGGTTGGGAGTTTGAGGTCAGACTTTGAGGACAGGGCACAGATAGTTTGTGTCAGAGATAAAGCAGATGTAACCTATGATTAGAGTGACAGGGACAGAACAAGATGCAGGTTTTGTGTAGTAAGGGAACCACAATCTTCAAAGGGATGAGGGCAGTTTGGTGTAAAATCAACCCAGACCTACAGCAAGAGGTAATGGGGAGTACCTTGCAGAGCAGGGAGTCTCGCAGGATAAGCTGTTCAAAGTAATTTCCATCACTGGCATCACAAACAGCCCTTTCCAAGTCCCTTTCAGAATTCCTTCTACTTATTCCTCTTCAACTCCTGTCACTGACCTAGCAGTGGTTCCCATGCAGTCCTGCACTCTCAGTTTATTCCCCTGCTGTTAGCAACAGTGCTCCTGGCCTCCCTTTCCAGGAGCATGCACTCTCTGGTGGTATCTGCATGTGTCACTGCTGGCATTAACACCAATGTGTTTAATGTGACCCCTTAGGTCCCATGCGCTTACCTGTATTCATTGACATTACCAGAGTCCTTCCACTTCCTCTGATAGGCTCACTTTGTGTTCCTGTCCTGTGGGTGTTTTTGTCATATCCTATCAGCCAGACTTTTCATTCTGTGCATCTTCGCTGATTGCTCAACCAGGTTTCCACTGAACCTCCATAAGGAGGGGTAAATGCTAAGCAAGGATACTTCCTTGTACAGCTGTAACAGGATTATTCAGGCCAGATTTCATTACAGCATAGCCTAAGAGTAGGAGAAAACATGACTGTCAGAGGCCTCTCTTTGTCAGGAAATGGGATTTCCGCAGGTGCTCAGTTGTAAATGCTTTGCATGCTTCTAAGGCTTGGCACATGGCATTGCTGAATCCTGATTCAGGATGCAAGAATGTCTCATGACCCCTGCCATGAAAACTGGTGTCTGGCCATGTTTGGAAATCAGCCGTCGATGATGACAGTAGATGAGTATGGGTGAAATGAGGAGCTTGGCTTCGACACTAAGCAAGACTTGTTAAACATTGTAAATACAGATGTCCGATTCATATTTTGAATAATGAATATTATGAACTTTTCTGTAGCAAGTGGTAAGAAGCTGGATCATCTTTCTTCATCTGCTCACTGCCTTCACAGAATTTGCAAGTGTGACAAAGTATTTCATCCCTTCACAGGATTAGGTAAGATTGGTAACCATAATTCATGTGTAGAGTTGCACAGAAATAGTCTAAATAGCCAAATATATGGATTTAAAGTTACCTATGTGGTGGCAGGGAAATTGTTTCCATTTTAGTTTGCTTGTTTCTTGGATTGGTTGGGTTATGCATCTGGCTTCAGTTGTTTATTCTTTTGGATGAAAATCTGCAGCTGTACAGGCCTGTACAATTTCTGTCCCAGTGTAGCTCTTCCATCAGGTATTCCTGCTATTTTGTTTGCTTCTACATGAAAATTAAGGAACTGGAAAAATAGTACTAGAAACTCTACATGAATGAAATTCTCAAGACTGTTAAGGAGAGGGATGTTTTAGGAGTAGGCTGTGCTCATTCTGTTCCTACATCCCTTGGACAAGTCACTGTTACATGTGGAAAGAAGCCACACACAACTGTTAGCAGTGTGTGGTGTAGCTCTGTGCCAGGGTAGATGCTCCTGTGGATACCAGCAATAGTTATGTGCTGTCTCCTTCCTCTGCACTTCTCTTCCTCAGCTTCCTTGAACTCAAGATGAATGAAAGTGCAGCTTTTCAAGTCTTGGTGGAGTAGTGAATTCTTGCTAAAAACCAAACCAAATGACATTTTCAGAGTAGCCCTATATTTAAGTGTGGCAGCACATTTAATTTGGTATTCCACAGGTTTTTAATGAGCTACATGTGGATAGGAATTTTTTGAAGCATCTGTCTTTTGCTAATTAAAAAGTAATTAGGTACCAAGGATTTAAACCATCCTAAAGGATGTGTGGCAATGCCAGTGTCCTGTCTGGTGAGGAACAACTGACTGAAACAATTTGAGTGTGGTAGATCGTAATTTACTAACTGCTGGATTAAGACCAAGGAAATAAAGAGCTTGTTAGCAGGCCTCCACATTTAGGGGATCTGGAGAGCAAAGAGGTTTACTTTATATGAGGCCCATGTTATGCTGTGCAGGAATTCCCAGTTCAGGGTCAAAAATACTGAGAGTGCCCTTTCACCAGAGAGCTGACAATTAGCTTGCTGCCAGTAGGAAAAGCAGCCTTTGAGTGGTGAGTGAACAGAGTGTCAGCAATGGACCTGGAGAGAGGGGCAGCACACAGTCAGAGCCAGTGACATTCTTCACACCTGCTGTGGGGCATAACAGTAGCTGGCTGCCTCAGCCCGTGGCACTACAAGCAGAGCATTGTGCTGTGACACAGCCTGGACAGCGATTGAATTACACACCGATTAGGTCTTCGCCTTCTCCCTGTCACTGTGGACAATGGAGAATCAGAGAAGTGGACATGAGAGCTTTAGCAGGCCTTGTGCTCTCCAGCAGAGGAGGATTAGTTTGTAAATGGTAAATTGTGTGGGGGCCAAGAGTCGTAAAACTGAACTCTTGCCCTGCTGCTGCCTCAAAGGCACAGGCTCTGCAGAAAAGCCCTTCTCCCCCCTTCTGCTAAATGCTGTGATCAGGGGAGGGGTGGGCATGTGGTGGAATCTGCTCCTCCTTTCCTCTGCCAAAGAAGGAAGAAGAAACTGGTACATTGGTACAGATTTGCTCCTCACCATCTCTTACTGTCTTTTCTAAGGAAGGGCATGGGATTAAATTAATCAGTCTTCTGCCATTTCCACAGGGATACGGATTTGCCTCTCCCCGAGGTGCTGCTGGCTGGTTCACTGCCTGCTGGAGGGTGTCTCTCAGATCTGACTTAACCTGAAGCATGCACTTCCTCAGGAGGTCTGCAGCAGGGCTGGAGGAGAGCAAACACTGCATCCCTTCCCTCCTGTCAGCTGCTGCCTCACAACTGCAGTGTCTGTGCTGTGCTCTCAGCTCCCTCACTCTGAAATGTTCCTCGTGGTGGTTTGTACAGAGCTGCCTTGGAGCAGGCTTTGCTTTTGGTGGCAGTATCCCTTGTTGCCATGCCATTAATGAAGATGGTTTTAGCCTTGCCTTTATTCCACTGGGACCAGCTCCTCTACCCACAGGCACCAAAAGTGGCAAATCTTCATAACCTTTTTTAATTTTCAGTTGAAGCTCTACATCACATGAACTTCTTGGGGTTTTTTGAGAGGTAAAGACTTTTTTTTCTTTTTTTTTTTTTTGAAACCACACCAAATAAACAAATAAAAACCCAAACATCACAGCCCAACAAACCCAAAACTAACAGAAAAAAAAATCAAAACCCACCCATTGAACCCAAGTTGGAGAAACAACTGCAGTGTGTGACTGATACAGTCCATGGGAGTACAAAGCATTCCAGTCTGATCTTGTACATCCACTCCCTACACCTATTAATAGCTTTTAGGCATGGGCATAAACATGGAGATGGGCAAGAGTAGTTTGCCATGCAGACATTTATCTGGGAACCATACTGTTTTCTGGAACTAAAGATTTCAGTGTGATAAAGTGGACATTTTAAAGCATTGGGAGAGATAGGGGGGAGGTAACTGCCCTTAAACTCAGGTTGGATTGGGCATTCTCACCTCTTGGAGTCTGCCAGTAAATAGCAAAGTATATGAGCAATGGAAATATGTGCTTCTTATCATCTTAAGGCATATTGATCCTGAATCATCACAGGGGAATTCAATAGGGGTGTTCTTATTAGTGATTTAAAAATATAAGTGTGGTTGAATACATGTAAAACTGTATCTTATTCCAGTTGTCTTTATTACTGCAATAAATGATACCAACTCTCTCTTCCTACAGACTTTATCTCATCTGTTTACAGTGCTGGCATTTATTTTGTTTTGAGCTGAGAAACAATGCATGCCTAGATACTGTAAGGTTGTAGAGGCTTTATGAACATATCATTTAAAAGGAATTGTTTCTGCTCTGGTTACTAGTTTGAACTGAGAAAAGATACTCGTATTTCATCCTTTTGAAAGAAATAATAGACTTGATGTAATAGAGCAGTTCTGAGTAATCTGCTCATAAACAATCCATTCCAGATCCAGAAAACTCCCAAATCTCTCCCACCGATTTTGTCTAATAGGTGGCAAATCCTTAGTAACTCTCAAAAATGCTCACAAGTCTGCAGGGCATGAAGGCTTTGCTTTGGCTTTTTTTTTGGTAAAATTTGATTTAAAAAAAAATGAATGAGAAATTTAGATGTTGTTCAACATAGTACTGATAACTTAAAATGCATTTTCGAAACTGGAAAATAACAGCTATTCTAAATAGTCACTGTTGGTTTTACTGCTATGGAGTGTTTCAGAGGTAAGTTTTAAAACAAAAAAAGGAAAACCAGTCATTCACGAGTGCTGATACAGGAATGACAGAGGTTAATACCACTGACATCATGTTGGAACTGTATAGCATTTTGTTAATGGTTATTAATGCCCTGCTGCTGGGAGACAGACAGTGCCAGCTGCCCTTAGTGCGGTGCCTCTGCGGGTGTGCCTGGGCCTCTGCTCAGGAAGGACAGGGCCCTGAGGAAGGCTCAAATCTGCTCCCTTCTGAAACAGGAGGAGAGGAGACACTGAGAGAAGGCATTTGCAGTGCCTTGCTCAGAACAGGGTTTGGACAGTGAAGCAGGAGCAGCAGACACACCTATGGAGCCACATCCAGGAGGTACTGAGAACTTGTGTTCAATTCAGATCTCCAGGACTAAACTCAAGATACACCTGCTTTGGAAGAAAACAGCAATAGATTCAGATAAACATGCATGGAAATGATGCCAGTAAGCCTGGGGAAGAAGCCTAGGTTAATGTAAGAGAACTCAGAGCTTTGTACATCAAGGGAAAGGGGTCAGAAATGCTGTAGGCTGAAGGAGAAAAGCCCTTGAGAGGAAGGGAAAGGAACTTTGTAATGGCAGAATGATGATGGATATGGAACAATTAATTAGCTTTGACTACATCATATTCATTGTACTTCTAGATTTGTGGGTTTAGCTGCCTCACTTGGGGCTGGCTATTACTTTGTGTAATACCTTTGAATTTCATCCACCATAAGGGAATGAAACAGATACAGAAAAGTGCAATATGTCAGTGTAGCATATCAAATTGAGACAGGCATTTTTAGCAGTCTGTACTGAATGGAGGTTTAAGCCTGCATTAGATTATTCCGTAAGTGTATTGTTGTTATGACAAACCTGAAAGGAGCTAAAAGCATTTCAGTAGATCAAAAAAGGAAACTTTGATTTGCTTTCCCACAGCCTGGACCCAAAATGGGATTGTCAGCCAGTCTTACATGGCCTGGCTGTGAGCTACACAATCACCCCCTGGTGAATGGGAGCAGAACACCAGGAGATGAGTTGTGAGTCCTGTGGGAGTAACTGGCTCTCCAGGCCTCTCCAAATGGTTCAGCTTTTAGATCTGTTTAAATACTGGTGCAGTGTAACCTGAATAATGCACTGGGAATGTTCAGCCAAGAAATGCCTGATGGCCCAAGGACATTTTGATGATGACTGCTATCTGATGTGCCACACAGACTGTTGTACTCTCTTTCATGCTAATTAAAAACTAGTATATCACTGCTTATATTTTCTAAAAGGGAAAATGAGAGTTTGATCCCATGAACCTCAGGTTTGGGCACACAATTTAATTTAAAACCTCATTAATTTTGCACACCCATTAATTATTAGAAAGAAATTGAAACATCCATGCAATATTGTACATGTACTTCCCAATTATGCAGCCTAATATTCAAACACAATGATTTGTATGGACTTTATTTTTTCTGGTCATTTTTACAAATAGAGTTGCCCATACAAATAGTTTGCAATCAGTTTCAGTGCATAGTGTGAGCAGCAGGAGCTCAAGGTCAAGAGGAGCAGGTTTTCTCCTCTGCATGGCATTGCATCATCAGTACTGCAGGTACATTGTTTGTCTGGTTTTAAGGATTTCTTTAATATTTTTTTCTTTTTTCTTTTCTTTAGCTACATAAAATGGTTCATGTTACTCTTTCCAGTAGCTCAGACTTCTATAATTATTACAAAAAATTTGCAAAGGAAAAAAAAAAGTGTAACCAAACACACTATTTTGAAGAGCTTCAAATTGAAAGTAACATTGGAATTCTGTATTCCTTCAAGAAAATAGGCTCTTACTCATTAACTTCTAGTCTTTGATGTTGGTAGATAATATTTGGAAGAATTTTGAATGGCTGGGACTCAAGCTTGACTTTTCATTTGCATTTCACACTGGAGCAAATCAAACAAATCAGAATGAAGCTTGAATAAGCTTCTACTGACTCCAATCAGTGCAGGATAGCCCCTGCAATCTAATGTATGTCTAGGCTTTGCCTCTTGAAATTTTTCTTCTGGGGGTGAAGAAAGAGGAGAATTTGTCTATAATTTACAGTTAACAGAGTCTATAATTAATAATTAACAGAGCAGCAATGAGCCTCTAAAAGGTGCTTTTATCTTAAAGTAATAAACAATCAATACAAGGTCATTTCTGAAGGATAAAGTGGCAGTTTGGCTTGGGTGGGGTTTTTTTGGTGGGTTTGGGTTTCTTTGCATATAAGGAAATATGGTAACTGGTGCCTCTTATTATGCCTACAGTGTAACTCACTCTGGAAGCTTGATTTATTGTTTTGGATTTGTAGCTGGTGAAAAGGAAGTTAAAAATAATTTCCAAAACCTGATCTCTAGCAGATGGAGGTCTTGCAGAAAAACAGTCAGGTATGTTCTAATGCACCAACATTTGGGTCTTGTCGTCTTGATGTTGCGTTGAGACTGTCCAAAATACTTCACCTCTTTAAGGTTTGACTATGTTAGCATTTCCCTATAGTTGCCAGAGTGGTGCCTGACTGGAAATTAATCATCCTGTATTTGTGTAAACATGAACTGCTTGTCTGGAAACCTGTGTGGAATGGTTGAATGTGCCATGGGCTGGTTATTAGTGTGTATGACTGCTATGTACAGAACCATACACTGAGCTATTTCTGGCTGTGTTTTGGTGAGTTTGAGCTGAATTCTGAATCTGTTTATTGACCCTAAGGTGTGTGTGTTTTCTTCTTTCATGGAAAGAGAATAGGACTTTTGAATTGGTTAAGACAACAGAAACAACAAAAGTTGTCTCTCTGTTGAGAAAAGTTGTCTCTTTGTTGAGAAAAGTAACTCCCTAACCTGAAATCATGTGTGCCAAGTTACCTTCACTGGCATTGTGAGAGCAACAGCAAAGGGTTCACATAGTTATTAACTGAACTTTTATGGGTAAAGTACCTACCTTTCTCCTAGAAAGAAGTAGTATCCTACCTGGCTTCACTCAAGCAGCAGCAACAGTCTTAGAATCACAGAATGGCCTGGGTTGGAGGGACCTTAAAGATCATCTCATTCCAACCCCTCTGCCATGAGCAGGGGAGACACCTTCCACTAGACCAAGGTTGCTGAGAGCCCCATCTCCAATCTGGCCTAGAAACACTTCCGTGGATGGGCCATCCACACTTCTCTGGGCAACCTGTATCAGTATCATCATTCTCACAGTAAAGAATCTCTCAATATCTAATCTAAACCTATTTTCTTTCGTTTTAATACCATTCCTCCCATGCCCTGATGAAAAGTCCCTTCCCAGATCTTGTAAGCCCCCTTTAAGTACTGGAAGATGCTATAAAGTCTCCTCAGAGCCTTCTCTTCTCTGAACAGGCTGAACAGCCCCAACTCTCTCAGCCTGCCAAAATTCTTTAGTGTTTGAAAAATGCTGAAGAGCACTTGTTTTTCTGCCTTTCTTCCCCTCTTCCTTATGAAATGGAAGGACTTTCACTCCTGTTACTTCTTGGGAGATATATTAATTTATCATAGGCTTTTCTATATGAACAGGTTTACAGAGTTGTGTTGCCAAATTGATAATACCAGAGGAAGGTGTAAAAGCATAAGGGAAACATGAAATTGAATGTCTTAGTTAAAGGTGCAAACTGCAGATGTCAGCAAACCGCAAAGCCATTCAAACTGTGAAGGAAATGAGGGGCACTGAATTCATTGGGAGCTGAAGATGTTGAATAAGCACTTTGAGTAGAAAGGATGCTGGCAAACACTGGGGATGGGGTTTGGCTGCTACAGAACCATGTGATGCTCCAAAACTAGTTGTTTTTAGGGGGCACAGTGTAGAGTCGAATGGGCTTATAAATATGAGCACTTCAGTCATGTGCCTCAAAAGAACATCTCTTCAACCTGTACCTGTTATAAATAAAGGAGATTAAAAGGGAGAAGTTGAAGAACTTTGTTCAGGTGCTTGAACAAAGAATCTGGAAACAGCCAAGTGAATCAGACTTGTCTTGCAAAAAGAATGGTGTAATAAGTCAGTCTTGTAGGCTCTCATCTGTCTCTGAATCTGCATATATGCCATCATGAAATTGCAGAACAGCGTTTGCAAGAACAGTCTAAGATTTTGGTTAGTAAGGCTTAAGGTTGAAGGGAGCTCCTTGTCTTCAGAGACTGCTTTCTTTTTAAAAACTGAGGGCTTAGTTTCCCCTGCCACAACCCTGTGGCGATTGGCAGCACCTCAGCCTGATCTATGAACTTAAAACACATTTGATCTATATGCTGGTGCTTACTGCCAGGTCCTGCCACTCCACCTGAATAACTATAACATGCTCATAAATCAGGGGAGAGCATTCCTTGCTGACACCATCCCAAATGCCCTACTGAGCTGAAGCCTGTGTTAGCCATCAATGCCTCTTACATAAACATGTCATACTTTAAAGTAGGGTGTTGCAAAAAGCACAAACAATATGCTGGTATGGAGGGGCCACACAAAGTCAAGAGCTGTTAAGTGGGGGGAAGAGAAGGAGAAGAATCTCTTGATGATAAATATATCTACCAGACACATATGGAAAGAAAATAGTTAAGTCTATCTTACATTTTTTTCAAAATGAAATAGTCAGATGTGGAAATGATTGTCATATTCCCTGGGAACTTGGAAGCTAGGAGCCACAGGAAAATAATGATGCATGATACTTTGGCTTTTGTTGTATTCCCTTCAGCCTGCCCTTCATCCCACACCTCATGCATCAGATACCCAGTAGTCTGTGTATCTGATTAGGTAGCAAAAAACCCTCAGTTACATTTGGTTTGCCATAGAAAGCTGAGTAAGAACAATGTGTGTGTGCATTCAAAACCACTTCCTAAGCCTTGTTTAAAGTCACCCACCAACACTGTGGCTGGTAGTTCCTGTCTCCCAATATCAATACTCAGATAAGCTGATGCCAATTTTGGGCACTGTAAGAGAAATGTTAAGGAGCATCCCAGGCACACCTTTGTTATAGTACACAGCTGAGTGACTTGTAAACCTCGTGTGTTTGTGTTCGTGCAGCCTTTGAAGTGAATGGGTAAGGAGGGTGCTCTCTAGCACAGCAGCTGGAACACACACAGCCAGAAGTGACACCAGGCTGTAAAGAGCGTCTGCAGCCGCCCCTGTCACATGGGTCACAAATCAGGGGGCTGACAGGTGCCTGTGCTGGACCCTGCTCCAGGGTGTGCCTTGGTGTGCAGCAGCAGGTAGGAAACCTGCGTGGTGGGTGGCCAGATTGTACAAATGACTCAAAATCTCTGCTCAGGGGCAGCCTGGTGCACAGCTTGGTGCAGAATTAAGAGCATTTGCTTTTCCTTAAACTGGGATGAATGCTGTTTATGCTCTGGCTTCAGGATGGGTTCAATTCCACACTCTTTAATAGTCACAATAACCTTAAGGTTAATTTGTAGCATTAAGGCAAGAGGTTTTTGTGAAACAAAAAAATGAGCCTGCAGTTCCCCAATTGCTCCTACTGAAAGGGTTGGGACCTCAGCACCCATGTTGCTTTCCCAAGGAGGGAGGTCCAGCATGCAAGAAGGAGGTGTAAGTGCTCACATCCTGAAAGGGCTTCAGGGTGTTTGGGCATGGACTTTTCTTATGGAATATCTAATATCTAATCTATCCCTGTGAGTAATTTCTAGCTGATTAGGATAATTGATGAGTATTACTCTGCTGTGATAGTATTTGTGATGGTGATGACCTTCCAAAAATGCATGTGGGAGACATGACAAAATTTTTTTTCCACTGCCTGCTTAGAATTGGTTTTTACTGCCTTACCCTCTAGCCATGTACATTAATTCCTGAGGTGCCCTTACCCCTTCACCACCTCCTTCTATATATAATTTAAGGTTTTTAGGGATTGATAAAAAGCAACCAGTCTGTAGTAGATTGCTTTGTCATCCTAACACCTCATTGGTGTTAACTGGCAGCAGCTCTCACTTTATGTAGGCACTGTAGTGCCTTGTGGCAGGTCTGTGCTTTTACATCCCAGCCTTCAGAGAAGCAGGCAAGTTTTGATCAGGGACAATAGCTTTTACATGGCTGTTTTTAGAGCCAGAAGGCAAAGGCTGAGGCAGCAGCTCTGAACACGCGCCGGCCTCAGGAGAGGCTCCTCGCTGCTGTGCAGCTGTTGTGAGAGCTGGGCAGGACATGGGGGCTCCAAAGCCGAGTGCCACATGTGCTTAGGCAGCCCCTGGCAATCCTGCCTGAAGTCAACTTCTGTTTAGGTCGTGGTGGTTTTTTTTCTTTTTCCAGGCAGTCACTTGATAGGGTATAATCCTGTAAGATACTCAGCAAAGAAGCTGATACAGGAAAGTATTTCTGCAGATGCTTAATTTTCAGTGAATAAGTGGTCCTTTTATGTGGGTGGGAGCACTCATGTGCTTAAAGTTAAGCACATGCTTAAGTGCTTTCTTGGACTGGGGCCAAAATGCTAATGTGATGGAGATTCCCTTTCTCAAGTAACTGCAGTGTTCAGGACTTCATGTAGACCCCTGGGCCTGCAGGATTACTGAAATACACCCATGACTGGTGAATATTGGACACTTAGGTTCTTAAACTTTTCATTTTCAGCAAAACCTTCGTGCAATGTTGCTATATTATGACTTATATATTTTGCATACAAAGAATAGTTCTTTACTAGGCCTGTGACAGACTTGAAAAGAAACCCTGTTGCTGACCTCAAATTGATTTTCTTATGAGGATATTTTATTTTTTCTGTTTGAGGAAAAAACCAAAAGATTCCTTCAGCACCTTTTGCTCTGACCCCACTGCCTTATCTTTAAACTTTTCCTACAACACTTTTGGAAGAAAATCAGCCTTTGATGGGCACCACTAAGATGTTGAATTCCAACTGCTCGCAGTCTGATGTTGCACTTGCCGACGATAGTCTGCTTTGATGACAGCAGTGGTAACAAGCCCAAAGCACACGTGTGTGGGATGTGACAGGGTTGTGCACCTGTCTCGGGCTGGGGGCACCAGGTCTTCCCCGTGGCAGCCTCCTCGGTGGCTGTGCTAATCACCGGCGGTGACACGGGGGTGACACTGCTGTGCCTGGCACATAGGAGCCAGCAGGGTGCTGGGGCTCTAAGTACACAGCTGCTTCTCAAATTATGATGCGCAGGGTCAGAGGTCACTGCAGAAAAAGCAGATAAAATTATGCTTCCTACTGCCACCATGCCACATCAAAATGCTAAATTGTTTGTTTTATAGTGGGTCTGTCAAGCTGTTCTGCTGTAGCAGACACGTGAACTTCTCAGCTGGCTTGTAGCCCTTTAACAATAAAGGGGTTTGTTTTCTCAATATTGTGCTAGAGATTTCTTTCTGTTAACTGTTGTTCTTTGACTGCTGCTATAAAATAGAAGTTTTTAGACATTTTTAAAGTGTTTCCCCGGTGGTGAAGCTTGGCAGGAGGGTGAGGGTGTGGAGCCAGCAGTGCTGCAGGATTTGTCTGCTCTGGCCGTGCTGTGTGTGGGCACGGCAGCCTGTGGGTTCCCCTTGGATACCTGGGATATGGGATAAGCTGTGGGCAGATGGCTGTGCACAGGATGAGCCATCTAGGTTAATGACCTGGGCAATGCTGTCTGCCTTTCTGTTCATGGCTGCTGCTTCTGTTCCTGCTTCAGAAATAGGGCAGATCTTTATCCTGCGTGCAGCATCCGCTCACTTTTCTCAGAGTCTCTCGACGCCTCTCTGCTGTCCTTTCCACTTGAATTTGTATTGAACAAGGGATGCTGCTTACAAGAAACTTGTGGAACTAAGAGTGAGAACCAGGCTGGAAAAACCATAAGAGTTCAAATATGTAGGGTATGTGATGCTTTCTCCAGCTTTGACTTTTTTTGAGTTCCTTTTTATTGTGAAGGGCTTGTTAATTTTTTGTTAAATTCTTCGACCATAACTGTGACCAAAGAGAGGAATGCATTTGACAAGTGCAATAAAGCAACTGTTCCGTGTTTATGGCAAGTGCTATACTTTTATGCTATTAATTCAAATTGCCTGGATTTTTATAAAACTGGGACAGTATAGGGTTACCCACCTTGCTAGAACAGTTGAAATGGATCACACTACAAAGTAGTCCACATCTCCCTATCAAATTTTAGAGAAAATAATCTTGGAGTCATAGGGGAGGCGTATGTCTCTGGAGCACGGCTTTTAGATACATTTTTGTAGCCAGAAATTGTTGGGAGTTCCAAAAAGAAATAATAGGAAAATGCCATTAAGTAAAATAGAAAGTTCAGTGCAAAAAGAAAATCAGTTGCACTGCATGTGAGGTAGTGACACTTAGGAGGACACAGGTAACTTCAGAAATGTGTTTTGCTACACTACTGTAACTAAGCAGAGAATGTGACTGCTGTACTCAGTCCTCTTCCAAGAGGAGAAGTGGTGGGAAGTGTACATGGGAATGATTTCCTTGAGCAGACTTCTGCTGAAAACCAGAGGCGTGAAAATAATTGGTTATTTTTCTTCAGTTTGACAGTTGTACAGGCAAGGAAAAATCCTTTGGGACCAGAAAAGTCTTTGGAGAATGGAGAAAGCATGAATGTGTTCCAAGACAAATACCCTACTTCAATTCCAGGTATTTTTATTTTTTTTCTTTTTTTTTTCCCGTAAGTAACAGCAAGAAATCCAGGGTCTTGTTTGTTTGTTTGTTTTTCTGGGGATTTGTTGCTTTTTAATTAACAAGGTAAAATTCAGAAGTCATGTGCAGCTCCAAGAGGGAAGGAGTGTGGGGCATCCCTGCCTCTATACATACATCCAGCAGGGTTAGCATTCATGTCACAAAGATGTTGATGCTCTCCTCTTGGCCTGGCAGAGCAGAAAGAGTGTCTGAATTCAAGTTTCTCCATCCAAAAATAGTTCTGACCACTGAATGAAGGATATGAAGTGGAAAACCTGGTAAGAATGACCATAGTGCCCTGTACATGAATTCCCATGCATTTGTAACTTGTTTTCTTACACTGAAAAGGAATAATGGGGTTGGGTAGAAATAGACACCCCCAAATAAGCTGGGAAGACTCTCTGTGACAAACCTGGCCCAACATTACTTGAGTTTAGAATAAGTGCAGACAAGTAATTAAATGCTCTTAAGTGCACTTAGGCTTTCTTTGAAGCCAAGATTTTTGGTACAGAGATAAGCTGCTCTGCTTCCAGGGAAGGGCTGGATGTTCCTCCCTGCTGGATCTCATGTTCATGGTGTGCTCAGTCACTTCTGGTCAGTGACTGCAACCTGATAGCCATTGCTAAATCCTCAGTGTCTTCTTGAAGGGACTCTGTGGAAAAGGAATAGTCACCATAGCAAGAACAACTTGTACAAGAGTTTGAATAGAACCAAGGCTTTTGGATTTTGGAGGCGGTTGATCATGTGCCAAAGAGGCTAACCCTTGTTTTTGTGTCAGCTCCCCATCTTTGTGGGATAGTCTCACCTCTCAGTGCCTACTAAGCAGTTGGTGTGCAAATGGTGGCTTTTTGAACTGCAGTATTTGTTTGAGCCTTGTGTCACCTGACTGAGGTCAGTGAACCTCACCATTCATCTTGGACAAATTCTTCTTATATTGTCAGGCTTCTGTTTTGGAAATGAAGTTATGATCTTTGCTGTCGCCTCATGAGTGACAAATATAAGGCAATGGAAAAGGACTTAACCCTAATCCTGCAAAATTAATTTCATAACAAAGTTGATCACTGAACAAGAAAATAGAGCTGGGCAGAGAGTCAAGATATCTCCATTTGGTCTGAGCCAACTTCTTCCTGATTAAAAGCTGTAACATATTTTCTTTATAATACCATTCTCGAACTCTTACATTTTATACCACTATCTTAATCAGTTCAAAGCTACGGTGTTTGCTCAGGTCCTTAAGGTGACTTCTAACAATAGTAGCAGAAAGAATGATCCGCTGATACTTTGAGAGGATAATCCTGGAGTCTGTGGAATGGCATCAACCAGAGGGTGTCATTCCCTGCCCATTATGTTGATATTTTTTCTTGTACTTGAGAAGCAGGCTTGTATTTGAGGTTTTCAGTTTAGATCTGTGTCCTCTGTTCTGAAAACAATGATTCCTAAGCAGTTCCTGAAGAAGCTTTCCCTCAAAGGTTTGGGTGGGTAGAACTAGGAAAGTGAAACTGCTTCTAGGGTAGTCTTTTCTTACGTATGTTTCTTTCTTGGAGTGCACTGTTAAATGCACAGTGGAGCCTGGGATGAACAGGTCATCCCATGCTATGTGTTACCCTATAGCTAATGCCAACTGCAATTTCAAGTGCTCCCTCCTAATCTCTCCCCCTCATGCATTATTTCCTTGTGCAGCATTAACACACCACATGCTGATCCACTGTTGCTTCATGGATTTAGAAAATAATCTACAGGCCTGCAGTGATGTAAAACATTAAATATTGTTTTAAATTTCGGAGGCGCCATCCTGCCTACACGGTACTTAGGGTGGGCAGCACGCCAGCGCCTTTGCTGGCATGTGCCTGAGAACTGGAGCATGCCTGCTCCCCGTGAACAAAGCAAAGCCCAGGACAATAAGGCAGGAACGATGACAGACAGGGAAGGGCTGGCTTATGGCTTGTGCTGTTTGACCATAATATCAGCTTTGGAGACTATACTGTCTGGAGGGCTAAGAGTTTCTTTCTACACTCCTGCCTTACTGCCTGCACCTGCCCATCCGAGGGCAGGCAAGAATGAAAGGACACTTTATAGAGCTTCCAGGGGCTTGTCAGTCAGTTATTGCACAGTGGGATTTCGCTGGATACTTCATACTCCTTCTCTCACTCAGCATTGCCAGATAACACTGGGCTGAGTGCATTTCTTCTTAGTTTGCTTCCCTCTTTCTCTTTGACACAGCAAAAAGCTGGTTTGTGTCTGGCAGGGGAAGGGCTGGGAAAGCCTGTGTGCTGTGCTGTGCTGTGCTGTTCTGTGTTCTGGGAGGGAGCAGAGGTAGTGCAGAGTGCCTGCTGCACTTTTTGGGATACCTGTGAGCTGTGCCTTTCCTTTCTGCCCCAGAGGAGTAAATTCCCACTGCAACCCTGCCTGTGGATGGGCTGTTCTTCACCCCAGGTTTTCAGTGATGTATCCACACCCACGCTCACTATTTGCACAGGGACAACTAGAACAGAGATTGTGTTTTCTTTTTCTTGCAGTGACTTGGACATGAGTAACCATTGGGAGTCGTCCTGTTTCCATTCTGCAAAGCTGCAGTTGCATGATGTCAGCTGGAAAGCTGCAGAAGCTCAGAGTGGTGTGTGCAGCTGCTCAGCCCTCTGGGCACAGCCTGCCCCTCTGTCTGCATGGGGCACACATAAACTGGGCCTGGTTTTAGGTCCCTGCCTGAGGACTGCTGACCCTGTCCTTACCTGCAATGTTCCTGGTGTTGGGAAAATGTCAGTCCCCTTTAACTTTCTCATCAGCACATCAGCTCCTGTCTTTGTGGCCATGGATCCCAAGTTCCTTGTGAAGGAGAGCACTCAGCCTATGCAAGGTGGTCCTGCACTTCTGAATTCATGGCATGGTGAATGATGTTTTGGAAGGCAGATCGTCAGATGCTGTTGGAAAAATCTACACATGAGCTGCTTAATATAGTTCATTATATTGGAGCGTCTGCATGAAAGAGGCAGGAGAAAAGGGTTGCCCACAAATATTATCAGTACAAATCAGCATGTTATTAATGCAGCCAAAGGTATGGTCTGTTTCTACACCCACCCTTTAATGCATGTGAACGTGCTTAATTCTGTGAGAACTTGCAAAGCCAGAAGCTATATGAACTTGGCTGTCACACACTTCTTAAAGCATTATTTCTCCTTTTGCCTCTTAGAGACCCCTCTAATGCCAAATGGCCCAAGAACTTCAAAGACATACCACAATTTAAATCTGTCCTTCATGCTTTTGCTTCCTTCAGCATCTAGCTGTGGCAAGGGCAGCTTCTCACTGGCTCTAGGGGCTCTCTCTTCAGACTTTTAAATGTAAGTGAATTATAACCGTTCACATTACCTGGTCCAGCTGCACTAGAAATGGGCATCTTGACTCGTTAGAAAAACAGGCATCTCTCTTCCACTGGGTCTAAACTCCTCATTAGCTTTGAAATATTTCACTCTGCTCCCACTCCTCAAGTTACAGCTTCTTTGGCCAAGTTCATTAGTTCTTATTTCCAGAAACTGCTGTATCTCACAGGGCTTCTGAGCTGGTTACAAGGTGATTAATACAGGTGAGGTACCTGTTCTAATTTTAATGTAACTGGCATAAATTACTTTCTGAAGTTGCATTTTCTTCAAGAGATGGAAGTGAAGAGCATTGATGTGCCATCTTGGAGCATTTATAGGATGAGGGTCCTGAATTTTCTCTCTGCATGCTTAATTTTGTGTAAGCTTTGCCTCTTTCTTTTGAAGAGTTGCTGTAACTACCAACTTAACTACTGTAGTAACACTGGGAACACAAAATAATGAAAAACAGAAATGTAATTTAGCTAGAAACCCCTAAATGCATTATTCTCATGTTTTAACCTAGCTGACTGGGTTAAGAGGGCAAGTGTGGAAGCAACACTTCCCACTCCTGGCTGTCCCAGTGTGCTGTTCCTTCCCTTGCTGGCCAGCAGCAGGCAATAGTGTCCTGTCATGTTCATGTCCAGGTGTTAGTGGGTCTCTAACCTGGACTGCTAAGGGATGGAATTAGCTCTGAATGTGTGAAATAAACTCAAGCAATGGAAAGGAAAAAGGAAGGTGTTACTATAAGACCATATATGTTGCTGAGGTATGTATATATCTCTTCTTTCATTGAGCTGTGGTTAATCAGAAGATTTATGTTGGGTTATTTCTGAAGAAGAGACTCCCCCATTTAATGTCCAGCATAGGTTGTTGTTTCAGCCTGAGCACGTATGCTTTGCTTCTGGTGTATTGGAAAAATGTGATAATGTCTAAAACAAGAATTATGTGGGAAAGACATGAAGATACATAAAATGATGAAAATCCATGGGTAGAAGGATCTCGTTAAGTGGACTCAGGGGGTTCTCATAAATATCATTTAGTGTGATGTAGTTCACATGATAACAAGATATTTTGTTCCACCAGCAAAATGGAGCATTAGCTTAGAGGACTGGATTACTCATGGCACAAACATGGCTGTTATGTGCAAACTTTCGGTGTTCTGCCAAGGTCAGTTTGTGGGGGTTGAGATGAAACTGTTTCCTAAACTGTGAAAGTGATCCTGGGTACCCAGGCTGCTGGAATGCCTGGAGGTTTTATGGATTCCTTCCCCTTTAGCCCACTAGCAGGGTATCTGCTAATGCAGGCTCCCCTTTCCTGCCTGCATTGCTCTAGTGAGGCCGGCCTTAGGAGAAGCGTTGTTTTGACTCACTTTTTTTCTGACTTCTTGTTTGCCTGCAGAAGGAGCATTTACAGCAGCCTATTCTGTAGATAACCAAGGCAAAATGGTTGACCTCAGGCTCTGGAAAAGATGACTGTAACACTCATGTCTGAATATGACACCAGACCCAGGATAGGAGTAGGAAGGTGTCAAGTTATAGTCAGATCTACTCTCACAGCACCTCAGCTGAAAATATTTGTTTGGGAAGGGCTGGTGAAAGGTTTCATGTCATGCAGGTGAAGGAAACAAAAGGTAGGAAAACGGATTTTGGCCTGGGGCTGAGGATCTACAGTGGGCTTGCTCCTCCTGTCCACTTAGAGGGGATGTGCACTGGCAGATGCTGTGACCAGGCAGGTCTTGGCCATGCCTGGAGCTTGCCAGGAAAGATCATTCCTGAGGGTGCCTAGCAGAGCTCCAGCTATGTTGCCCCTGGCTTTGTGCCCTCCCCTTGCAGCTCACAGGCTGTTGCTGGTCTGGCTTTGCTTGCCCTGCTCCAGAGCCTCAGCCACAGCTTCCCATTTCTGATGGCTCAGAGCAGAGCACCTTTGCTGAAGCTTGATGTTAGAAGCATGCACTGGAATGGAGGTGTCAGAGTGGTCTCTAACTGCTTGAAGTGGTGCAGCTGAAAACTGTGTCACTTTAGGAATATGCTTTGTTCTGGAAGGGAGTGGAAGACTAATGGAGTGAAGTTGATAAGCAGCAAATGAAGTTGGAAATACGTGTTCAGGGTGAAGTCAGGGGATCAAACACAGATTATATTCCTCTGCCTGACTGCCTTCAGATTTTATAATTCATTGATTTTTTGCCTGTGCTATACAGGATGCTAATTCAGGAGTTAAAAATCTAAGGGACATTTAGGAGGATTACCAGGCTTCCACAATGTCAATGTCAAACTTGGATTCTGGGAAGCTCTGTTTTAGGGCAGGACTTGAGGATGAAGGTTCTGTGTGAGTGCAGAAGTAGGATTAAATTTCAATTAAGCCCAGAAAGAAATACTAGAGGGCTGAAAGATATTTTCCCTCTCTTCATACCTGTAAAGAGGACCTTGTCCAAATTCCCTTAATTTGCTGTAAAGTACATCTGCGACCTCAAGTAGATCTCAGCTCCAGTGTATTTACTGTCCCAACAGAAACAGTGCACTACAACCTCACCCTAATTTTACTGGAATCAGCTGCCACTGCTCTGGAGAAGAAGCAAGAAAAAACAAAATTATTATCTGGATAAACAGCCTATTAATTTGATGACAACTGTTGTTCTCCATTTCAGGGTCCAGAGAGCAGCCTGGGCAGTGAGCTAATGAGAACACCAGAGCCGTGCAGCCTTGGGGGAGGTGGGGGGTAGAGAAGAAAACAGAACAAACACTCCTTTTGTAGCTTGGAGCTAAGGGGATTCAGCCAAAGGTTAATTGCTTTCTACCCTAAAATGCTGTGAAGTGTTGCTGCGTGGTGTCATACAGCTGCTTCATCCCAGCCTAAGGGTGTCTGTTTCACTGGTGGGTGGCATGAGCCAAGATCCTTTTTTTAACCGCACGGGGGTGTTGCAAGGTCTCTCGAGTTAAGGCTTCCAAAAATCTGGTGGAGCTTGGTTGGTATTGTTTAGGATTTCACCACATCATGGGAGCAGTTAGCAAAAACACCAAATGAGCACCAAAAGAACAGATTGCTCTTCACTAGGAAATTTTTTTAGGGGATGCAAGCTCATTGTTTCCTCTGATTCTTCATTAGACAATCAAATGAAAGATGCTGCAGGAATCAAGAGATAAGGACAGAAATGAGTGTAATAGTAAACTTCACCTCACGGTCACCTTTGCCTCTTAGCCAGTGTTTCTTTAAAATATTTTCAAATTAAAGTGTGAACTTTAATTATAATGCTCAAATCTGTTATTCCTAAGAATAAAAAAAAAATCTGTTATTTTTTTCCATTAACAATTCTGCTCATGCAACTTCTGCACTCTGTAGAACTTAAAGCAAAAAAATAACTTTCTATTAGAATAGGTCTGTTGTGACAGCTTGGAAGTCTCCTTCTGGTTGGAAGGACATAAAAATTTCAAAAAAACAGAAAGTTGTATGTGGGGAAAATCATCCTGTGATGTTGTGCAGTCTTGTGATTGCAGGTTGCCCAGGTTCCTTTTTCTGGAGATCATCATAGTGGAAGAGAATTAGAGTATTCAAGTTGGAGGGGACCTACAGTGATCATCTAGTCCAACTCCAATTGATACTTGTGAGATTAAATAGAATTAAATAGAAATGCAATGTCTGATTTTCCTATAGGGTAGGTAAATTTCTGATTTTAGTGTTTGTATGTGAACTCTCAATATGGCAAATAATTCTGTTGATATCACTTCTCTGACCTGTTTGTCTCAGTTTCTCCTGTCTGGTCATTCTGCTCATTTCCTTGTGAACATTTTTATCTTTTACTTTACTTGTGCTTTCAACACTTATTTTAGTTCATGGCTCCACAACTGAAGTTTATTATATACAGGGTTTAAATTAATGACCAGCAAGCCTGAGCAAGTGTGTGCTTGTTGAATGTCAGAGCTTGAGTATTTTCAATGCCCAGTTCAGGTTAGGAGGAGCTGTTTCCTCTGTGATTCTTATGCCAAATGACAGGATGGTCTGAGAAAACCCTGAACACTTCATTAGTGTCTCTTCCTATCTCAGTCATGTGTGCATGGCTCACCCTGCACTTGCCCAAAAGGCAAAGTGTGGGGTCACAGCACTGTCCCAAATGACCAAGGTTTCCCCAGAGTTAATTCCCTCAGAAATGAGACAATGCAGGCAATAAGGGCACTAGAGATGGGAGTGCTTTGGGCTCTTGTTTGCCCTCCATCTAACTCCCTCCCTGTCCCTTTCTGATAATGAAAGAACAGGTCCCAGTTCTTCTGCTTCCAGGGAATAGTGTTAAGTCTCATGGTGCTCAGGCAGCTAATGGTCCAATTGGGAACACAGACCCTTAGAGCACTTTTACCATATGGGAAATGTTTAAAGCATTTTTTCAGCAAGGTTTTGGAGAGTTCTGCTTTTGAAGTCCCTTATTCCAAATAGGGTGATGTGTGAACCTCTGCTTTTGTCGGAGCTGAGTATCACAAACAGGATGAGGCTCTCTTTCTGCGTGTCAGTACAATAGAAACACATGAGTTTTTCTATGAGAAGCTTGTCTGACTCAGCAGTATTGCCTAAACTTTCAGAGACAACTGCAACCTACACTACACATGGTACAGTTGTATGGTATCGCTCCTGTTTTCTGTTCCTTACTTGTTTTCTGGCCTAACTGAAGGTGCTGACTTGTTAGTTTGGAACATGAATGGTCACTGAGCCCAGTGGGACTGGGGAGAGGGCTTGTAATACTGATGGCATGACTCTATTAGCAACAATTTGTGTGAGTAATGTGGTAGAATAGTTATGAGCCATCTGCCTGCATCTGCAGTTGCTCAGCAGCCTGGAAGTGCACTTTGAAGTCAGCTTTACTGGAGCTGACCCTGGTAAGTTCTTGCTTTTCATTCCTAGGACTGCTGCACAAAGTTAACATCAAGTGCTGCCTTGGAATCCTGGACCTTTCCTTGTAATCCTGAATCTTTCCAGTGAAGCAGATAGGAATTCTGAAACGTTCTGCAGTGTCTGAGAGATCTTCAACATAGCTTTAAACTTTTGTGACTATTTAATGGGAAATGAATCTTTCCTTGTTTTCTTTTTTTTCCCCCACTTCATAATAGCATTAAACTAATTTTCTGCAAACCTGCTTTCAACAGTCTAGCTAATTTATACTGGAAGTAATTGGACACACCTAATGAAAAGCAGAGTGGAATTTTGCTGTTGAACTGCAATGTTCTCTTCAAGTCACTGGTCTCTTCCATTTGATAATTGTCATAACAGCAGTTAAGTAACCTGACTTCTCCTCTTTCCTGCCAGTGATGAAAGCTTAAAATGAGTCTTCAGAACTGTCACTCTTCTCTAAAGTTTCCTTAACGAAATGGCATTTACTCCTCTCTTAATATTTTGCTATCTAACATTAGCCTTCAGAGAGCTCTCACTGCAATAGTCAACCAGGCAAGGGCTTTAGATACTCTCAGGGTACTGCTTATCTTGAGGAGTCCAAGGGGATCATGGTGATGCTGTTTGTGACCTCAATCTCTTGTTGTGTAGAGACCATGTTCATTTACTCTCAAATCCATTATAAATTCATGTTACATGCTTACTCACTCATTCCATAGTGGGATTCTGCTCCATACCCAGAGCTGTGGTGTTTCTGGGCAAGAGCAGCATTTGTGCTGCTGTTGTGGTTGCAGTTTTTCCTGATGTGCCCCTGGCATGGCAGGTGCTGTATGGACGGGGGGTTGAGTTGTTCCCTCAGCTCTTTTGTAGGATTAACCAGGCACTACCTTTCTTGTGCTTTGTGGGGTTCTCAATCTCATAGCTTTCTTCAGCCTTCAGAGAGGCTGTGGGGGTATGTACAGAAGGCACCACAGAGCTGTCAGTGAGCTGTAAATTGCTGCCATCTACCAGCTCATGTAGGGGGCTCCCATCTGGTCTGGTGTGTGCTGGGATCTATGCTCTAGCTCCAAATCCTGGCTCCTAGGATTTGTCTTTGACTGGGCCTGTTCTCAAACATTTGAAGGAGGTGGATGTCTGGTCTCATCTCTTCATAAACAAACCAACCTCATCTGTAGGTGCATGCAAAAAACCCTCAAAAGACCCAAACCCAAACAAAAACAACAACCAAATAACCCAACCCCGAGCCCACAAAAAGCCCCCCAAGCAATCAAACAAAAACCAAAAAAGCAATATGGATTTAAGGTTTTTTAGCAGTCACTCTCTTGCCTAACTTCTATGGGACTTCTTTATGTTACAGATTCCTGTCCCAGAGGGGTTTTTAGCAGTGAAGAGGGTCGGAAGGTATTTGAGCTGCTACAGTATATCGTGTTCTCAGCAAGAGCTTCTGCTCGCTGTTCAGTCCAGAGAGGGTCTTGTCCATCTCTGTGAGCATAACTGTAATGCTATGAATTATTCCTTGTGGAAACTTTAGCTATTGTACTTAGTGGGTTTACAGGAGCTTTTTCAGTCTGCTTTTAATGTATTTGTGTTGGTGGGGATTCTGAGTGGAATTACATGCCCAGGCTTTCAGATAACTGCTGTAAATACACAGATCCACTCTAGTCCCTTACTTCACTGTAGCAGCTGCTGCGGTGTTGCAGAAACTTCATAGCTTTGACTGCATCTTATTAGTTCAGCACACTATTAATATCCCAGAAGCTTTTTGTATTAGTTTCCACACTTAATATTGGTTCTCTTTCCTTCTTCCCTGCCCCCCTTCACACTCAGTCATTAAACTAAATTCATCTTGGGGCTTTTTCATTTAAGATGCCCTTGCTGCCCACACCAAAGAGGGGAACCAGACTGGAAGCAAACCAATTGTGCTAACAGTCACCTGGTATATTTAGTGGCAATGTCATCTAACATGCATTTATGCTCAGAAGTAGTGCCTTTCTGCTTCTATATGGAGCATTTGTAGTGTTGGCAAAATCTTTCCAGAGAAACAGCTGCTGATTGGCTCTTGTCTATTTGGGGAAGGATCTGTCCTTAAATACTTAGTTATTCTGCTTTCTAAAAATGGCATCGAGCACTTGGCACTATGAGGATTGGACTCAAAACTTTTACTGAGATGAACTGGGTGCATTGCACCAAGACCTGGTGAATCCTTGTCTCCCCTAGAGGAATGACTGCACAAGTACCAGCAAGTGGGTGCAGGCACATCTAGGGCAAGTCAGTGCCTGGGGCTCTAAAATGCCAATTGCAGTGTTCCTCTGGAAGGCTTTAAAACCAAATGTCACATTATTACGGTTTAGTGGCTCTGGTGAAAAGGCTACAGGACTGAGATGCATCTCAGCTGATATTTCTTCTGAATGTAAAGAAATCCTGTCCCAAATGGCAGCAATGCCTCTCCTTTGAGGTGTTGTGTCTCAGAAAGGTGGAGAATACAGGCTGTCCTTTGAATAGGGACTGGGAGCCAACTTGCCTTTACCAGTCTGTGCTGACCAGAGACAGGGCAAGGAGGAAGGATCCACCAGCACCTGGCACAACTGCCCCAGCCTCCAAATGCATAAACCTGACTGACACCTAACTCTGACTGAGGAGAAGACTCTAGGGTGAGCAGCTCACCAAGAACAGAAGTGTTGCAGCCCTTTGGTTGACTGTAGGTGCTTCCCACTGTTCCTCAGATCTTACAAGGTCAGGAAAACTTGACATCCAGAGAGCTGGTAGGGTACCAAGGGAAGGGTTTTACCCCAGAGCTCAGGGGCTTTGCTCACCTCTGAGCTCTCACTGTGACACCTCACCTAAGGGAGAGCAGTGGGTGAATCATGTAATACTCCTTTGGAACAGAGGCTAGCTTAGGACAACTTGAGGGTCTAGGACACTGAAATATCTTCCTGTCCAAAATAGTTTGAATTAGTTGATCTGCGTGGCATGCTGCCAGGCTTCAAGGAGAACTAGGGAGGCCTGGCTACTGGTCAGCAGGCTGGACTGGGAGGTAGGAAGTTATTAATAGCTGCTTTTCCATGGAAAGAATGAGTTTGGCTGAGATGTGATGTAAAGCTGCTAACTGGTACAGCAAGGAAATGCTGAAAGTCTTTGTCTATTATCACTTGAAGGAACTGTTATGCCTTGTGGAGAGCTTTGAGCCTCATGGTCTCAGCTCTCCTGGCATTGGCCTCTGAATCTTGAGCTCTGTGGTTGGGCAGCACAGGTGCAGGTCTGAAGAAAAGAAGCTGTCAGCTCTTGGTCAGCCTCAGGGAATGGTTGGTGTGTCTTCTTTTCCTCAGCAAGTTTATGTTCCCTCAAGGTCCCTTATGATGCAGTTCCTGCCTGTAGGAGTCACCTCTTTGTTTCTGAAGCTACTTAATTTAAGGAGAGAGAAGTAAGAAAGATCCTTTTCTGCACACTAGAAGTTTTGGAAAGAAAGATTATCTCAAAACCTCAGACAAGACCAGTTTGGAAAAAAGGTGGAGGAGACTGGGTGAAATAAATGAATAAAAATTCTCTTCTTGAGTGGAATGGCAATGAGGAATTTCTTATGGGGGGTTTAGCTGGATCAAAGGTTACAATAAAGCACAAGTAATAGATTTGCTTTAAACTATACCAGCTGGTCCTCTCCTTTTAAAGGCTTGTGGCAGAGTGGCTTTAGTGATGTTATTGTGGGCATCTGTTGGACTTGTTCCTGAGCACTTGATTAGCATTTGTCATTTTTAAGGTGAAGGCTAGGAAAATGAAGTGGTGTTGCATTCAGTGTGAAGCTTGTATTTCCTTTTGTATTCTTCAGTTCCCTTCAGGAACTTTTCAGTTTCCTTGCAGGAAACTAATACAAGGCTCTGGATTAATACACAGAGGTCTCCAAGCCAAGCCCAGTTTCATCCCTTGTAACAACTGGTGCTTCTTAAGGGAGATGCTAGCTCCCAGAATAGTTACATGGATCAAGTTTGTCATCTCCCTCTTCCTAAAGATTGTTCTGCTTAGAAAGAGGGAGGATGAACAAGAGTCAATGGAATATCCATTTCTCATTAAAAATAGTTCTTGTGCTGGCTATTGTAGGGAAACTTTATTTCCTTGGTGGCTTGTTGCTGATCTCTGCTCTTGTCTGTTGGACTTCCACCCTGGAAAACAGGTGTAGAGATGCTATAAGTAGCAAGAAGTCTGATGCATGCAGTGAGTTCCTTGAAGACTCTAAATTACAGTTTTCCTTCCTGTGCTACAACCTCAGGTCCCTGACCTGCAACTGCAGCATATTTTCTGTGACTAACAGCTGTAATTCCCTAATTATCATGCTCTGTTCTCCTGCTGTGCTGTAGATTTTGTTACCAAGGAAGCAAACCAAGTTTCCTCGTTCCTACCCTTGCTCTGTACGCTCCCAACTGTTTTAAATCCACCATTTGATGCAGCCCATAAAGACAAATGACTATCTCTTGCTTCAAATAGTCAAAGTTTCCAGAACATATTACGTAGCTGCATGCTGGGGACAAAGAAGGAAATTAAGTCTTTCTGGCCCTTCTTTCAGTGAAGGCAGCTGGTCCAAAGCTATTGCTAAGTTAGAAAAAGTACCTTTACAGTCTCAAACAGTGGGCCCAAACAAATAGTACTGTTGCAATGTGACAGATAAAACTTCTGCAAACCCCTGGAAAATGAAGGTTGTGTGTGCCATAGTATCCATACAGGCCTAATCATTTGAGGATGACTAACAAGGGGTCAGTTCCTTTTTGCCTCCACTGCTTTTGAGGTTGGGGATAAATGATTGTGTGCCACATGGTAATGAGAATAAACCTGTGCTAATCAAGGTGATTCGATCAATACAACCAGCTGTATTGTGACAGATAAGCAGCTGTCACAGAATATCACAGAAATGTGTTAAGAAGCAGAAAAACTAAACTAGGTTTCCTAAAACCTAATGTTTACCCTTCTAAGTATGCAAAGGTATATTTGAGTACTGCATATACTGAGGCTTTACTGGATGATGCCCATCATTCTCCTGCAGGATGCACAAGGGCAAGTTTAGTTCTTAAAGCTGTTGTCACTTTGGACTCCATCAGGCTAATGTGGCTGTGTCCACAACAAGCATCAAGCCCCCAGTGCCCTGGGTGGCAGTCGGTGACAAACAGGAATGCTTTCCATGGGACCAGCCTCCAGTAATTAATTCATGGCTCACTCCAGAAATATCATCCAAGTTGCAACATGAATGATGTCTCCTGGATCACAGGATAAGAGTTACTGACTCCATATGGGGGATTTGCTGCTTGACTCCTCTGCCCATTGTTTGAGACTACCTCTAGTCCAGCCCTCTACATGGGATGGTTACAGCAATAAAGGCACTTTTTCTAACCTAGAAATAGCTTTGGACCAGCTGCCTTCACTAAAAGAAAGGCCAGAAAGACTTAATTTTAATTCTTTGTCCCAAGAGCTAGGAGGATGCTCCTTCCTCTGGATCCCTGGGATTAAATCCACAACTGGGTCTAGAACAGGTGACACCCAAGTTGGGAGGGCAATGAAGGAAATTGTCTGCTTGGCCTCAGTCAAAGGAGAAGGAAAAATGAAATACAAATGCCAAAGAAAAAGAGTAGATTTAGACAACACAAAAGATGTCCCTGGCATTAAGATTGTCCAGCATTGCTTCATTTGCAAACTTGACAATGGGCTTCAGTAGAGTGCATTATGTAGCTGGCAAGCATGGATCAGGTATGGAGGCACATAAATCCATTGTGGATGTATTTTTCATTACAGAATAATGGTGAGATAACCTAGACAACCTATGAAAATGCTTTTGTTCAGTTTCTGGAACTCTGCTCTTGTGCCTGTGTTTAAATATCAAGTATTGTACACCTTAGCACATACGTCAGAATATATTGGTGTAACCGTTAAGATGCATTAGACTCAAGGTTAGACATACAAAATTTAGTACTTCACAGAAACTCAAGTTGTGCTGGTAGTTCAGTGGATGTTTTGACTTCATGGCACCCTGAGCTGGTGTTATACTATGCTGGATTGTACCTGTAATAACCTGAATTTTTTTTTTTTTTTTTTGGAGAACTTACTGTTTGATGTGATTGCACCAGATTTTGGTTTGTGTCCATACTTGTGAGGCTTCCTGTGATGTCCAGCAGGTTGCAGTGGATTTGCCTGAGTCTCAGGATGGGAGGAGGCACCAGCACACATTGTGTTACCTGTCACACATTGTGTGACCCTTCACCAGCAAGGCATGCAGGTCCCCCTCACCCCTACCACCAACAGCATTCTTCTCATTGGTGTCAAAATCCCTTCTAAAATAGGAGCTAGATGTGTAATTTAAAACCTTTATCAGAAATAACAAAGGATCCCCAGAGTCTTTTCCCTTTGACAAGGCCTGGGAGAAACCACCTAGTGCCACTCTGTTGTTAATACTCATGAAATTGGTACCTCAGAAGGGTATTGGTGGAGGTAATTTTCATACTTTGGTTTTACTGAAGATATGCACTCCTTTTGTGTGAATTCTGAACTGTTCACTGCTTCCAAATTTCATAAACTCTTCAGAAAAAGTTGTTTTTTCCCCAGTGAACTCCAAGGACGTGCTGCTGGTGGCCTGAAGCTGAGAGTGGATCTTGGTGGGTGGCTCTTGGTGAACAGAGCAAGTGACACTCAGATGCTGAAGGATTCCAGAGGGGAGGAGAGTGCCCTCACCTGCTTGTGAGTCAATACATAAACAAACAATTTAAAAATCCCCAAAAAACCAGTATGTCCTGCTCTTCTCAGCCCCAGCACAGGCCTGCACCCTGAGGCAGAACATGCAACAGCTTATTGTGCTTAATAGCATTTTGTTGTTGTTTGTTTGTGGTGTTGTTGTTGTTGATTGTTTTCATTTTTTTAAGACGCTGCTTCCACCACAGCAAACCTGGTGAGTCACTCTGTCCAGGATCAATCAAAATACAGCTCTTGCTCCAGGCTTGGTTTATTAACAGCACCAGGAGCAGTTATGTGAGAAAGGCAGGTCTCTGCCTGCTGGGCATGCAAGTCCCTCCAGCTAGAAGGAAGATGTGTGACCATCAAAGCTATGCTCAGCAGGCAGGAGCACTGTCCTGCAGCATTCCTGCTAAGGCTCCCTCACAGCTGAAACACCCAGGCTGTGGCAGGGGGAGTTGGGTTACACAGGGGAGCAGGCTGGCTCTTCCCTAGCTGAGCATCTGCTGTGCCACAGCACAGGCAGAGAGTTGTTTGGGGACTGCCTCTAACTTGCTGCTGTGGAGTGCTGGAGTCGGCATCTGCTTCTCCTAAGGGTGAAAGGGTGGGCTGTTAACCACCTTACTGAGATGGAATGTTTTACTTGGAAAAGGGTGCATATACCTGGCAAATAAACTGTCTTTGACCAGACAGTTTTGAATTAAGTCAACCAGCTTGAAGCCCACACTGCAGAGGGATGGTTGCTGTACCATAGTGCCAAGGTACAAAAGCTTTTTTTTTGTTGTTGGTTTTGGTTACTTGGCTTCAAACAAGTGACTCAGGTAGGACATTGAAATTAACCACTGTTATCAAATATTTGGGGGAAATGAGTGTCAGTCTCCAGCTTGTAACAGCCTTCTGCTCCTGAGCTACCCAGCTGTGTCTTTAGCACTGTGCATGGCTTAGTGTGAACCAGCAGGCACAGCGTTGCCTCAAGCAAGACTTGAATGCATCCTGAAATTATTGAGGGTCAACAGGACAAGTGCTTTGGGAAGGCTGAGATGGTCTAAGACAAATCTCATGGATGTTGTTTGGTTAAAGGTGATGGGCAGAGGAAAGAATGGAGATGGTGAATGCTGCTTTCTCTGCTGTCCTACCCAGGGGGGATGTGCTGAGCTCTGCTTTTGCTTACTGTCAATCCCAGCAGTGCAAGAAAGGAAGGGGCTGGGAAACCTGAACTGGCAAAGCAGGAGTAGCACCCAGACCCTGCCCCCTGAGGCTGGCTGATGTGGCTTGTACCCCATGTCTGCAGCACACCCCTACTTTGCTTGCCACGTGAGCAGAGTGGAAGTGCTGTGCAGCAGGGGTGGTGTGTGTTTCAGGAGAGGAGGGCTGTGTGTTTTGTGTCTCCAGCGTGGTGCGCACTGGGGGCAGGCACGAGGGGTTTGTGTCTCACGCGTACAGCACGTGTGGTTTGTGCAGTGCAGGAAGCAGCACCCCTGGGTGCCACTGCATTCCCCCCATAGCTGCCCTGCAGCCTGCTCCAGCCCTGCCCAGCATGGCTGTTGTCACGGCCAGCTGCAGCTGTCTGGGGATGAAGTGCCCTGATGGGGTGCCAGCCAGTCTGGCTGCTGTGCAACAGGATTCTGCCTGCAGTGCTGCTGGTTCCTCCAGGCTGGAAGGGTTTTCTGTGTCCCACTCCCCCTCTCAGCACGGCCCTGGCTCTGTCAAGGGAGGCCTAACACTCTCCCTGCACACAGGAGGAGGTCTCTGTGGCTACAGGAGCCACAGCCCTGCAGGTGAAGGTGCAAGCTGGCAGACTGATCTCAGGGAAGCACCCCCACAGCAGCAGGAGAGATGCTGAGGTTGCAGGAACAGGTACATGGGGTGGGACAGAACTGCAGCTCCTGGAGCCAAATCATCCCCTCTTCCTCCTCAGGGAAGCACATCTGCAAAAAACCTAAATCCAAAACAAGGTTAATAATAGTTAGAGACATTTCTCATTGCAACAATCTGAGTTTATAGCTCTAAGGAAGGGTCAGTCTCCCAGCCTGCTGTAGGAGATATGTGGCAAGCCTCTACACTAGTCAGGGAGACAAAAACTCAGTAAAGCTTGGGATCTGGAGCTGTTTTTTACTGTTTACCCCATTTTCAGTTGCCCCAAACACAGAGGAACAGTGCAGGGAGGTATTAAGTGTTAGTTTTCTGCCACTCACCTTAGTGTCCCAACTCTTGATTTATATACCACCTCATCAGCTGGACCACAACTGTCTCTGGTTTTGCATCTTAACTTACCTGAAAGAAAACCACATATAGATCATATCATGCAGACAGTTAGAATTATTTATTTTTGATTACAAAGCAGCTCCTTCAATCTCTTGTTAGCAATGTGCCTATAAAACACACTTTAACACTAAATAGATGAAGCAGGGGCAAGGGATGCTGTACATACCTCACAGCCAGACAAACCCCATGGCAGCAATTCCCTTCAAAGGTCTTCCACTGTTTCACCATCCACCAGAAAAGGCTGATTCAGGCTGCTGGCCACGTGCAGAGGGGATTTCTTCAGCAAAATTTCTTGCACAGAGCCTGTGGGCTCAGCTGCTGCCTGAAACAAGAATCACACAATAGAAAAGCTGCAAAGATTTGACCCAACAGCTGCTTCATCTTCTGCACTGATTTAAAGCACCAGAGCCCTTTCTCAACTTGGCAATAAAGTCAGGCATTTATATATTTTTTAACACGTACATAAATGATGTATCTATAGATATGTGTGTGTATTTATACACATACACACCCAGCCATACAAGTACATATATATTTACATATGTGTACATATTTGTATATATATATTAATATAAGGGGGAAGATGGACATATACTTGACTTAAAAAAGACAATTGGGGCAGCTAATTAACAATCGAGATTTTGTTATCCTGTGCACCTCACAGGCCCAGCTAGTAAATGAAAATGCAACCTTTTCTGTTTTAGCCTGTGTGACAAAAGGCACGAGTGCAGCCTAGGGGCCAGCAGCAGCCTCCCTGCCACTGAGGGCCAGTCAGAAATCCATTTCCACCTTAGCAGCCGAAACTGTGACTAGTATCTTTTTAAAGCCCTCATGCCACAATTTTTAAACAGTCAACAAAGTGAGATTGAGGGAGGAACAACAGCAGGAGTGGGGAAAACTGCATTTCCAGAGACACGATGGTTCCTGAAGTCAGACAAGAGGTTACCAGCCCCTGCTTTGGGGTGAGGATTCCAGGTGCTTGTAGGAAGATGGCTTCTGCCACTCAGGTGAAGCTCATAATTTCTTCCTGTGGTTCATCCCATTCCAATGTCTTCCTTCCCCTGCCTCAGCCTTGGGAACTCAGCTCTTGGTTGAGACATGAGCATTAAGTCAGCTGCTGTGCATTTGTTGCTGAAGTGTATTCAGCACCTACTGAAACAGCTACAGCCCTTTATATATATGCAAAAATATATATAATATTAAATATTTAGATAAATTATATATATATATATAAAAATATATAAAAATGTCTATTGGTATGTGTAGCTATACATAAAAGATATAAAAGGGCTTTTATAAAAAGACCTGTACAAAAACATCTGGCATATCTAGGTGACCATCCAACACCCAACACCTCTGCCACCTACAAAAGCGTGCAGAAACTTGTCACCAAAACTAAGATAACCAAATGCCCAGGCAAAAATAGTGCAGTGTATGGTCACACACCAGGGCTGTGCTTGTTGGCCTGCTCCTTGGAAGTGAAAGCACAGGGTAAGTTACTCCACAACATATGTTTTTTCATGAGAGGAAAGCATTTACAAACTTACAAGACAATTCTATGGCTGTAACAGGAGCTTGTACCGTACGTGCTTCTGGTGGTGCCTCGTTACCAGGCTCATGCTATAGAGCCCCCTCTGTTATCTGCAGAAAACTTGGTCTCACTGGGCATTTTCTGCACACGCTCTGCATTCCTCCTCCTTTCCCCAGTCGTCCTCTCCCAACAAAGACTCTTTTTTTCAGGAGAATTAGGGCGCAAATCGTCGTATCTGTTCCAAGGGCAGAGTGCGCTGGTCTTACCCTGTGAGGAGTCCTGGCATTCATGGGACTCCAACAGCTGGATCTGAGCATTTCCTTTAATTGAACAGGTTTGCAGTCTCTCTGTGCAGAAGCAATTCTCCACATCACACAAGCCTGCATTCCAGAATAAAATGAAAATTTAAGAGCGCTGGCTAACGAGACCGAGAAGCTCATTGTTTAAACAAAAGGCTGATTGTCTGGGTGCTCCAGTGCCCCATTCCTCCAACATTAAACCCACACGAGGGACAGCAGCCTAATCCACAGCTTGCTGCCAGGTGGTACAGAAATTAATCTTCCACTTACCGGGGATATTCGTTGCGGTGTTCATAAAGGTTTGCAACCCAACAAGGCGAGCGACTAAAATGTTCTCCCTGTCATAGACGGGCATGGCAAGCTGGTGATATGAAATATCAGCCCCCAGGAGCATCCCCTGTGGTGAGGAAATTGTGGATGATGTGTATCAGGGAGGGGAATGGCATCCCATTAAAATCCTCTGCTTTAACCCAGAGCCCCAGGCTGTCTAACTGCACAGAAAATGAGTTGGAGGATGAGGGGTGGACTGGGAAAGCCCAGGCTCACCAAGGACCTAAGCATAGGCCACCATAATGTGCAGGGCTTGGTGTTTATGAGGACAGGAAATAAAAAATTATTTTTCTCATGTTTTAACAACACCAAAGCTCCCATTTCTAGTCTGACAGCATGTTGTGAGTACTGGACACACAACACAGAGACCCTCATTAGGTCTCCCAATAGCTTAGGGACCTGCTTCAGATCTGCTTGCCAGGACATTTCACTACTCTTCCAAACAGAGTATGAGAACAGAGGAGGAAGAGAAATCCTGCCCTTTATTAGTCTGCTGCTCCCTTAAAATCCAAGGAGGAAAGGGAAAACAGTCAACTGTAAGCAGGTGATCAAAACAGGAGCCACATAAACATAAACATTTGGAAGGGTAAAGCCTCAGGAGTGTTTAGCATCATTGCTTCCAGTTTTCATCTGCTCACATTTCACTGCAGACGTAATTCACTGCAAAGCACTGCCAAAGCTTTTCACAACACCAAGGCACGTTGAACTCGATGCAGATAATATTTACAAATACTGCAGCTTTCCCCCCACCCTTCCCTAATGTTTTCCCAGCAGCTTGCCATCCCATCTGGCTTTGGCTGTCCTTGCTGCCCTCTCAAAGACTTCCCTTGCCTGGGGAGCCCATGGCTGTGCCACAGGGAGGTGGCAGCCTCTTGCTTTGCCTGCCTGGTTGACCAATCTTTCTTGCTGTGCACATGGAAAAGCAAATGGCCAAGTGCAAGTCAGTCCTTTGCCATGTGTTTGTGCATGACTCTGACTTGGTGCCCAGCTATGTCTCCAGGGCATCCCAGGTTATTCCCTAATCCAGAGAAATGTTTTGCAAAACAACAGCTTTCCCCAAACAGCGATGCCACAGTCCCACTTTGCTTCATGTATTCCTCCTGCTTGTGTCCTCACATAGCAGCAATTAATAGTTTATGCACCAGCTTCTTCCATGTCTGCTTAGCAAATTTTCAGCTAAACCAAATTCTTATTTTCCTAGGGTTTAATTAGGCTGAAGATCCAAATTTTTAAAAGATGAAAGAAGAACTGAACAAATCCAAAAGGCCATAAGGCAGATTTTAAGTGGATTCCATGAATAGCAGCAGAGCTAATGCACAGCTTGAACTTAAAAGAATTTGAATCCAAATTATTTTTGTTCCTCATTTGGCTTGCTTTTTAAAACATACAGATAATAATTCCATAGCTTCTGTAAAACTTCTTTCTAAAAATAACAATTTACCATTGTAAAGAATTGCAAAGGGTCAGAACTATGCACAGAGATTCACTCATCACCCACAAAAGGAGCTTCTGAGTGAGTTGGACACTGGCAGAAAAGTCAGTCTACCAAAAATATGAAGAACTGAACAAATAAGGTATGTAATTCACTCTGGTCCCATCCCATACTTTTATTTAATCTGGTATTAATCCCACCTGCAAGCACTGCCCCAGGATAGTCCCTAGGCAACACAATCCCAGCAAAGAGCAGAAGGAAATCTGCAGTCCCAGGGCTGACCTTCATCCTTAGCTGTCACTAGATCCAGACTGGTAACTCCTTCTGCAAGCAAAGCTAGCAAACCAGGTACAGGGTCCAGCTGGGGTCCTGGTAGTGGGAGCTGCAAGGCTGGCTCTGTTCAGCAAGATGGCTTCACCCCTGACCAACACTGGAAGGGATAAAGCATTCTCCTTTCTCTCATCCAACTTTGTCTGAAGTGCAAGGATTCAACAACCAAACCAACAGCCTCAGGTTTCCTGAACTGGAGCCTCCATCTTGATGCCTTGTGAAGGCTGACCTAGAACAGAGGCTGAATAGAGTTAAAGAATAAAGTAGGGATTTATTAAAGGCCTCAATGGATACACCTTGGGCAGCACAAGAGCCCAGCCAGGGCTACACCCAAGATGGTCCCAAAATGGATGACTGGTCACTGGGTCTCTCACTGTTATAAGTTCTCGTCCATTTACATATTTGAGTAATTTGTCAATTACAACTTTAGGTTATAAAGTCCCATCCTTGTTTTCCTCTCTTCAATCCACTGTTGTTTGTGCTCTTGGGCCTGAAATTTGGATAATTTGTCCTTGCTTTCCAGCTGGAGAAGGAATTATTTTATCTCCCTACTCTGTGAAGAGAGCTTACCATCCCCTAATATGAAGTTCAGAACTACACATTAAAGCAGCACAGAATCTGAAAAATATAAAAGCTAAAACCCGAGGCTTCAATCTTAGCACTAATCACTGCTTTAAACCTTACAGAACTGTTTAGTTCAGTCTAAGAAAATTGAAATTTAACCCTGCCCCAAAGAGGAGCAGGTTCCTGCAGGTGTCAGCTCCCTCATGCGGGGTATGTCTCCACAATAAAAGTACATTTGAACACTTTGGTTGGCAGCCTTAAAGCTAGTCCCAATTCCAGTCATAAACAAAGCCACAATCAGCAGAATCTAGTCACAATCAGCATGGGTCTTTCTGGCAAATGATGAGCAGAAATGTGTCTGCCAAAGCTGGTCTTTTTCTTGTAGCTGCAGATACTCTAAGGTCCACCAATTACACTGGCTCAGCTATCTCTATTTTTCTGAACCACCTGTATTTCCCAGGTTTGGTACTTATCCTAAAATCAACAGCAGACAAGGGGAGCAGTCTATACATGGGCACAGCAAGTGTCTGTCCTGAAAATGACTGACCAAAACTGGCATAAGGCAGCAGACTTAGGACCAGCCTTCACCTGGAGCAGCCAGAAAAAAACACCACCCTTGGTCCTTACCCAGGGAATAGATAGTCAATTGTCCATAACCTTTTTCAAAAAAATAAGGCAGCATTTAGCAATTTTAACGCTAGTTCTTGCTTTGGGGGGATGTGTTTTACTGTGTCTCTGGAATTGAAGCACTTGTTTCAGTTAGACTACAAACAATCTCATCCCCACACAGCAGCCACCAAAGTGCTGCTCTTTCAATTCCTCTTGGCTGAAGATATGGGAAATGATGCTCAGGTCTGCTGTCTCAGCTCCCTGTAATTAATGTGAGCTATTAATAATGAGGCTTCTCTGTTTCTCAAATCAGACTTCAGCAAAACTTGAACTCTAGACTTTACAAAGCAATAATAAGCATCAATTATTATTCCTTTATAAAATAAGGTATTATATTAAAACAATACCAGTGTTCACACTTATAACTAGACACCTCAAACTTTCTCTTTAAAGCTAATTTGAATTATTAGTATTCCAACACTGAAATTATAGTTACAAACATGAAAATATGTCCCAGAGCATTGCTCAAAATCTTAATTTACAATAATACCAGCACAAACTCCCACTTTGGAACAGCAATCATGTTAAAACCTTCTAACTGCACTCCAGTATTTTTCATCACTAAACATTTACTACCAAAGGTATGATAAGACAGTCTTTGGAGTAACAGACCCACATACTGTTTCCATTTGAGAGGGTACCAATATTTCTCTTTTATAACCCACTGTAGGTTGGGGCTGTAGCATCACTACAATCTGTTTTCTTCTAAAAGTGTAAGAAAACCATTTTATTTGATAGTAAACTTTCAAGTAAAGTATATTTTATGTTTCATAAAGACTGAGAAGTTAAATAAGTTGTCTTTCTATGTACAATAAATATAAAGAAATTCCACCACAGAGCTAGATGAGTCGTGTGCTACCTTGAGCAGATGGAAATGAGGGTGGAACTGTGTGTGGTTTACAGGACTGACAGCCTTCATGCTAAAAACCCCAAACCAACCCACACCACAATTAGCCAGTCATGGGCTTTGTGCAGTCATTGCTGTTAAATACAAGTGGGCAGAGGAGTATTTGCTTTACACAGGCAGCACTTTTCACCCTGTGATTAAAGCACAGCCCAATGACTGCTGCCGGCACCACAATCTCAGAGAAACACTTTGAGCCAAATTCTGCCCTTTCAGAAATCCTCTTCCACAGCTGTGAAACGTTTGTGGCCGTCTGTTCTGCACAAACCCAGTTTGTTGGGTACACCACCTCAGCACCCAGGCAGCCCCAGCCTGGTGAGCATCTCCATCATCATCCATTGAGAGCCATTATAAGATTTCTTTCTTTCAATCTTACACAGCTCTCACACTGACACCTCTAGTCCCGTCTTCTAAAATATGCCTCAAAAATGGGAACTCCTGTCCACACACTCTTGGTCCACAGGTGATGAGTTGAGCAGAGCTCCCTGTTCCCAACACAGAGCCTCCCCTTCCTTTTAAATCAATTTTGGAAATGCAATAGCATCTGCCAAGAAAGCTGTCCTCTACCAAGGACAAATCATAAAAGCATCTCAAATTGGCACCATTAACTTTTATTCAAAAGGAGCAAGGAACACTAAATGGCTCACAAACCATCATCAATCCAAAACCATAAGGTCATCTGCCACTAATCCACTTAAGGACACTGCAGCACACCATACAGGGACCAAGGGCATTAGAGGCCCATGAGGCAAAGCCTGGGAGCTCTGATGAGCTGGTCCAATCACCTCCCTGCAGCTCAGCTCCTGGGCTGTGACTTGGAGCCCTGCCCTTGGGATGGGTATTCACACATTGCAGTATCCGGCTGCAAGATCATAAGAGAAAGAAATAAACAGAAATGCATTTTTTTAAAGACTGGGTATTTGTTCTTCCAGTCGCTCTCCATTTCAGAATATTTTTTATGTCCTTCATCAGTCTTGTACTTAGTTACAGATGGAAAATATTAGCTCTGGTTTACAAAACATGGCCCCGTTTCCTGTAACACAGCACAGGTTGGACAAATCTGTCATTTGAGTAGTGTGTCTGTTCTGTGGCCAATTCTGTAATCTACAAGCAATGTGATCCTAAACAAGGAATCTCATGTTAGCAGCCAAGATTGGAAAATCCCTGT